CATCCACATCACAACGAATATCTTTTGCGATGCAGATTGGAAAGAATCTTTTAGACAGTCTCATCCAGCCTCTGCTGTAATGTCATCACAGGGTCCATCCATGGTGGCCAGCAGGTCCATCCATGTGTCATTTCTGGCGATCACTTTCCATCTCAATGCTGAGAAATTCCTCAACAGGGTTAAGTAATGGGGAGTAGGATGAGTAACTCCATCAGCATCCTGTTGTGGGTCGCTCACCGTTGCCGCGATGGAAACCAACATTGTCCCAAACTATCACGTACTTTGGCAAGTCCTCTCCAATCTGACCGCTCTTGTTCAGGCATGAGATCCCTTTGGAGTGTAAAAAGGTGACAAGACTATTTGGCCCAATGTGTGCAAAAGGTTGGCTGTTATCTCATCCGCAACACTCGTATGTCCTTGGCCTCTTAACTCTGCCTCTTGTGTTTTGCCTCCCAACTCTTCCTCTTTGGCAGTTGACCACGTCCAATTCCCGGTCCGTCCATTGTCAGACATTGTAACATTGTGTTGTGCTTCAGCTATGTATACAGTAAACTTGCCCGTTGATGGTTCATGAGATGCCCCTTCGTCAAGATGTGAAGTCAAGATTCACCTGGGAGCAATTTACCAATTTAGGACAGATTTAGAAAAAACATCTAATGGAAATGTATAGAAATCTGCTTGACATGACAACTTGTTCAACCATTTTGCATGTATAGACTTCTGTGATGAACTAATGCCTAAATGTTGTGGGAGGTAAGACTTCAACAGGGACCCATTATAATACATTTTGATCAACATGACATAAGCAATTGATAATGTAGGAAACACAGAATTGTACATAATCATAACATTCTGTAAGTACGGCTGTAGTAAAGTTTAAAACTATTTCTCCCTGCTGTAGTGGTAGCACATGATTTTATTTTAATGGAATAGTATCAAAAGATATTAATTGGCCATGGTGCATAACACTAAACTGCATAACAATAACTTTTGTACTGCTTGAATAACTTTGTACTTTGAAGAAAAAAAACTTGAACAATGGCTCTGCCACAAAAAAGACTGACATTAGTCACACTGAATATTACTTGTGACGCAGCGGAGGAAACTAAGGCGCACTTGGACCTGCAGAGCAAGGAGCGGTACTTCTCCGCTCTCTGCACACTGTACTCTTTCACTGCCTCCATCCTCCGTCAATGCAGCGGCCGCTGCATCTGTGTCCTCCCCTCCGGATGAAGGTATGGGACAAACAATCTGTCGAAGTGGACCGCCATCGTGGGAGAGCATGACGTCACGTAAGTCAGACGGCTATGGACTGGAAATACATCGGAGGCTCTTTGTGAACTTCTGTTCATCTTTCACTACAGCTGATTGCGGGACTGTAGACGTGGGATGCAGCTCAGTGAGAGCAGCAACCACCCACAGTATTACTGCAGACACTGATAATGCACTACATTCTGCTGGCAGTGTATAAAATGAAAATGTGAGGCTTCAATTTAATTTCTCATTCAGACATTTACAATCAAGAGACCAGCGAACGTCACCGTACAACATGCATCATGAGCTGCGTCATCCTTTAAATGAACTGTGACTGAGTTATGTGTAGTCTCCCTGTTGGTACTCACGAGGAGGTGTTTGTTCAGTGTAAAGCATTAGTTCCCTTTTTTCTTGATGCTAAACAATCATCTCTTTGTGATCCTTTTGCTTTGGTTGAAATTTAAAACTGATTAGCTCAGTCAGTGATTTTCTCTTCTGAAATCATTCATTTTGATTTGTTTTAGAGACCTGAAGAAGTAAAACGAAAGTAGTTTACATTTTCATGCAAGCAAATATTATTAATATTATTCATATGTGCTTGCGGTTAATAGCTCAACAGCAGGGGTCATAACATGTGGCGATAATGGGATTACAGTTCATTTTTATTTTTAGATGGTTACAAGGGCTTAACAATAGGTCAAATGAAAACAACATACAAACAAAATGTTGCACTAAACTTTCTCTTTGGCTTTCGTTTGATCCCCTAAAGTAAATAGATTCATAGGACTGAGAGCAAATTCAGTTACCTGTTCTGTTGGATTCCATAGATTTCAAGCACAGATTTTAGCAACAAAAACGTACTGGGACAACTTGAGCTAAAATATAACCGTGACGGCGTCATGTTTGATCCTTAGAGCGGACAGCTCCTCAGGGAGGATTTGCAGGCCTGGACCGCAAGCAGCTTCCCTCTTTGTTGGTTTCAGGTGCTTCTTTCTACTACTTTGTGAAATAAACGTGAATAGAAACTCTGAAATGTCTGAGTGTCATATATCGAACAGACATTTAGAATCATTCAGCTGAACGGCCTCTTTTCCGACAGAAGTTCTAACAGTGAGTAAAGGTTTTCGCCTTTAGCCGAGTCTGGACAAGTGCTGCTGTTTCTGCTTTAGAGAGACACGTGTAGGTTGAGGAAACAGCTCATGTGTTTTGTTGGGTGTCGAGTTCTGCTTTTGTGAGTCCTTCAGGCGCACAATTTTCAGTTAAGTATTAACTTTAAATAGAACACACTGGCCATTTCAGTTTTTAAAGTTTATCAAAACACATACTACCCAGAATGGTTTTCATATCTGCATCATCAATCGCTAAGGTTAAGACATTAGCTGCTTTGCAAGTTGCAACTCAAGCAGCAAGTTACGAAATGTTAGCAGTTCAACATTGTAAGACGAGGTGGAATAGATATCGGACCCCCATCTCTGACCTGTTTACAGACACAACATGCAAGGAATTTAGGATGAGCTTTGTAACGAGCAATAATCAAATAATAATTAATAATAACAACAATTTTTGAGACATTCAACCATCCAAATATTTACATGATCACCTAAAACGTCCACTATTGAATTCACATCATGCGTGAGACTGTTACTTTTTTCATATACACATGATTTTACCTCCCCCCACAATGATTTCTGCATTTTAGTAGCTTATAAATGTTTTTTCCCCATGTGATCTGGACGGTGGGAGTATTTAGCGCAACAGTCGAGGAGAGGACGTGACAAACGGAGCCCGTTGTCCATCCATGCATCTTTTGTTGTAGATCGCAGCAGATGAGCACAACTCTTTCGCTCTTTGGGGATAACCAAAAGTCTGCATTACTTTAAAATGAGGCATGAGGCATGAGGCATACGCAAGCTTGTTAAGAACAGAGCACGCGCGTTGTGATCTGGGAAGAGGAGCCTATGGAAGTGGTTTGCTGAGCCACAGCTTCCGCTGCAGCGTTCCCTTTTGAGGCGGAGGAGCGGTGGTATCAGAGACGTGAGCCTCACGGTTCAGAACACGGAGGGTTTAAACTAGCGCCACGGCGTCCAGCACGTCCACCACAGTGGTGAGAAATGCGCTCGCCAGAATGTCAAGCCAGTCAAACAAAGGCCAACTTTATCTGGTGTCCAGTTCTGCTTTTGCAAACTGCGTGCATGCAAAGTGGAGTTGGGTGATACAAGTAACGTTAAAGAAACCATACAGATAAAGTGCCACAACACTTTTACTCCCACGTCACTTGCCACTGAGATTGTGTGCAAAGCGTTTTTGTGTCTTACCGTTTTCCCAAACGAGAAAATCTGCAGACAAAAGCTGAAAGTCAACATTTTAACTTATTATGGTTTCAGGTGAAACCTGATGGACTGCTGGTGGAGTTTGCGTGGACGCTGTGAGTTGGCCTCTGTTGTCTCTGAGTTCTTCAGTCTTCTCCTGCTGTCCAAAGACTTGCAGATTAGGTTCAATAATGAATCCAAATTGTTCGGTCCCCGCTGGAATATAATGAAATGATAACAGATGGAGGTATGTAACGTATAATATATTAAATGTCTAGGATCGTTGTGGTAAAAATACATTTTCACCACAATGCTGTTTTTACAGAGGTGAAGTAGGTTTCCTCATCTGGGTCCTCAAATTCTACGTAAAGAGATGACCATTAGAAACGCTATTCATTTTATAAACTGAGGTCTGTTGGGTGATTTCTCACATGGGCTAAATCCACAAATTTCCACCACAAACTCCTTTCATGGAATAATACATTTTCCAGTTGTCCAGAATGCTTTTCATGAAAACAACTTTTGGAAGTTCTCTGCAAACGCAACTAACCATTATGGTTAGATTGTTAGAGACACGCGCTGGAAGACCTTTACTGCTCTTTCTCACTAACAGTCTGTCTCTGAAAAGAAGAATGTCTACATTTAAAGGTTTCACAGCTCACCCAACAGGTTTCCCACAAAGCCAAAACATTTCTCTCGACTGACTTTTTTCCCTTAAGAGTTTTTCTGCAGTCAGCTGCTGGTCGAGCTGTATTCAGCTATGTCGTCACCACACTTTTGGCTTTGCTTTCTTTCTTACAAATATTCAACGGTTTTAATTCAAGGCCAGAAGTACTGCAAGGTCTTGTCCTGATTTCGGCCAGGTTAATACTGATACCGCAGACACGTGGACAGCTCGTGCACCTGCGCTTTCGCCCTGGATGAGAAAAATGCCCCTTTTGCTGGAGCACACTTGTTTCTTCATTTGTCAATATTCAAGAATAACAACGACTCTCTGTTATCAATTTCCCCCAAATGTGTTTTGATATCCGACCGGTATTTATTTGGGTTCTTGTGAGAATTTCGGGCCGACATGCTCCGCGGCGCTCACAAGCCACGCCCCCCTCCTCCGCTCAGCGCTGAGCGGCATCAGACACATGCCATCCGCCTCCTGTTGCTTCAGGTAGCCAAACATAAAATCAATACAGAACATTAAATGCTGACACCGGGACTTCAATACCCGTAAAAAGAGGGTTTGTTCTATCCCCACAAAGCAGCAGCAGTCCAAAACAGGACGGTTCGATTCGGGGTAGCCGGGTACCGAGCCCTCAGCGTGGCATCGCTCCGGCACCGAAGTGGGGAACAAGCCGACACACGCCGCCCGACCTGCCAGCGCCTGCACATAAACACACGTTATTACGGTGCACGGGGGGAAACATTGACGCGCAATTAATTACAACATACCTGAGCCGAGCGTCTGCAGAACCTGCAGCCAGGTCACCCAGCGGGTATGAACCCGTCATTAGAAAGAAAAGCAACACGGCAACTGCAGCAAAAGACAGAGAAACTGCGTGGGAGAAACGTGCTGTAAGTTCCAGTATTGTTTATAGGGGGACGGGTGAGGTCATGTACATATTTGATGGACTGTGAAGAAAAACAATAGCGTTCAAACAAGTAGTTATCTGGAAATGACAATATATATATAATCGGGGCCTCAATATTCTCTCCCGACGTGTTTAACACCCTGCGAAGTAAAACCGCTTCTTCATCAACAGGATCGTCCAGAAAATGAGGCGTCATGTTCGAGAAAACACTTTAGTCTTTAACATAACAGATCTTATTTTGTTCATATGTGGAAACTGCGCTAAAATCCGCCTGAATGAAGGAGGAAATGAAAGCGCGCTGTGTGATTGGCTGGGCTGCTGTCTAGTATGGCGTTATATTTGTGCCACAATCCTGAGCGCGTAATTTTAAGTTTTGAGCACAGAGAACTATATTTTAGCAAAGAAAAACATCCCGTGCGCGCAGTTTACTGAGGTGCCCTCGCCACAAACTGGTTTTCTGCGCGCAGGCAGCCGTTGCTGCGCTCTCTCTCTCCACCTCGTCACGCTGCGCGCGCTCGACGGTTCACTCACGCGCTCGCTCGACTTGCAGCAGCGTTACATTTGTGCCACAAAACCAACCAATCAGAGAATTAAAGAAGGTCAATTGCGATTGGCTGTTGGTCTCCAATCACAACGCTAGTAGAATTACCTACAGCATCGCGGAAGCTCAGCGAGTTGTTGAAGTTTGCAGCATTTGTGCTAAATGCTAATGGCCTGGATTAAAACACTTGGTGTTCTCATCATTTGCTTCGGTCATGTCTGATGGTGGCTAGCCGGACTTCTAATATCACTCGTTTTCATCTTCTTTAGGAAGCGTTGTGATTGGAGACCAACAGCCAATCGCAAATGACCTTCTTTAATTCTCTGATTGGTTGGTTTTGTGGCACAAATGTAACGCTGCTGCAAGTCGAGCGAGCGCGTGAGTGAAACGTCGAGCGAGCGCAGCGTGAAGAGGTGGAGAGAGCGCAGCAACCGCTGCCTGCGCGCAGAAAACCAGTTTGTGGAGAGGGCACCTGAGTAAACTGCGCGCACGGAATGTTTTTCTTTGCTAAAATATAGTTATTTGTGCTCAAAACTTAAAATTACGCGCTCAGGATTGTGGCACAAATATAACGCCATAAAATATAACGCCATACTGTCAGAGGGAGGAGACTGTGAAAGAAACTCCAGGTTTACTGAAGAAAACCTGCTCCCGACCAGGCTATGATCACAGGCTCAGTCACCATGGTAACTGAGCCTGAGCTTTAGTTACCTCCCTCTGTGAAACAGACAAGCCACAGTCTTCCTCATGTCAGGATTAACCAACTCCACTAAACCCGCTTCTTGAAACAGACCCCTCGGCCCCAAAATGTCTGTGCACGTGCCTGCTGATACCATTGCTGTACTTTTTGTTATATTTCACAGGTACAAGGCTAGACTTCGCCTGCACTCCAACATACAAATTGAATACTGACATCAAACTCTCCTTGTTTATTACCAGATATTAAGGGCACATCTAACTTCGGATTTCATTAATAGGGTCAGACAAAGAGCTTGTTGCTGAGTAAACATTTGTTTGGGACCAGACCACAGTGCGTGCAGTGTACTGACCGGTGGTTGATACTTTCAGAAGAAAAGCGTGTTTTGTCGTTGTAATGTCACTCTCAAAGAAATTGAAGCTGTTTTTAACTGGCTAAACCCGTTTAACTTACTTGCATGACACAATCCGCAAGTAACTAGTAAGTTCTGTTGTCCTTGCTCCTAAATGGTGGAACGAGCTCTCGGATGACATCTGGATCGCAAAGAGTTTTCACATCTTCCGCTGCAAACTAAAGACACACCTCGTCAGACTCCACCTCGACTCAAAGACTAACAAATTGTAGCACTTAAATCGTACTTATAATGGCTCTTATCTATAGCAAATTCTAAATTGTCTTTTTTAATTGAATTGCTCTTTCTTGTTTCTTGTTCTTCGGAGTTTGTATCCTTATGGTTGAAATGCACTCATTCTAAGTCTCTTTGGTTAAAAGCCTCAGCTAAATGTAATGTAAAGTTTCACACGGAGCATTCAACTTTATACATTACATTTATGTAAGGCCTGGGCGAAGGTCACACTGGGTCATTTGTTTTAGGAAGTGGGTAAAAGCTTTGCGTGTATAAAATTATCTGTTTTGTGAGGAGGTGACAACACTGGTGACACATATTCCTTGCATGAGTCGTGCAACAAGACTTCTACAAATGACTCAAGTCACCTGAAAAGGGACAGATTGTTCCTTTGCGCTCAAAGGAGCAGGAAGATCTGACCAAGCTTCTTGGGGCGAATAGGAGCTTAAATACACTTCAGAGAGGTCTGTGTTGTCCAATCAGAAGCCGCCCACACACCCGCCCGGCTGCACAAAGGAATTTCCGCAGGAAAATATCTTGAACCCTCCCTTAATGTGACCCAGGCAATCACGGTTTGACAGACAGAAGGAAAGACAAAATGGAAATCCGCTGCGAAAAACAGGATGGCAGCGTCTACAGGTCACAGGTCACAGCTTTTCCCAAGAAAGGTGACACACCCAATTCCCGAGAGACTCACAATGTGCAGATCAACAACTTCTCCACCCACAATGTGTAGCTTGATAACATGCTGATATAATTGGTCGCCTTTAATGATTTGTTCTGTTGGTCCTCTGATAGCGTTTTCATGTTGTTGTTTTTTGTTGATAGTTGTTTACTATCGTTGGAATGTTCAGAAGAATGTCTAGTTAAATGCTTGTGATCAGCATTTCAATGCAATAGAAACTTCCCTATGGGGATGAATGGTAAATTGTAAAAAAGAGAAGTGTCTCTTGAATTTGCAATTTAACCACGTATTTAAATGAATGGATGCACTGGTTTTGTGCAGGTGTGCATCTCAACTCGTGTTAGGCTACTCTCTCTCTTATGCATGTCAACAAAAAGTTTGTGCAAAAAAATAAGGGGCATGCAACAAATGTGTCTCTGTCTGAACAGTCAGCTGTGCGTGTGCTTTTGTCATATAGTATAGTTTTACAAAAAGGGGTCGTCCGTATATTATGTTTAGGTACACTGCTATGTGAAGTTCTACGGACAGACGGGTTTGATTCGGTAGCAGCTTCACTGCTGTCCGGCTTAGCGGGGATGCAGGAGTGTTTATTTTCAGCAGACATCAGCACTGCAAGAGGAGAGATTAATTAAGAAAGAGAAATAAATTGGCCTCGTGAGGGGGGGGGGACTAGTGAGAGAGAGGAAGGAAGAGCTTGCCTATATAAAGAGTGGAGCAAGAGCAGAGCGGTGTGGTTTGAGAGAACATCTGGAGAAATTTGCAGAGGCTGAACTGTGAGTACGAGAGAGTGGTAAGCAGGAGAATAAAACAATTTAACAACTGTGCATTCATTTTTTGGGCACTTTAAAGGAGCTTACTCTCTTAATAATTCATGTTCTTGAATATATTAAAAGTGAGTGGTCGTTTGTGCCCAGTCGTTGCAGCTCTGCTGGGGCAAGTTTTCCATTGCAGGCCATGTTCTTTCCTATGAAAGTCCATTTAAAGGTGCAGCACAGGCTTGTGCCACAGGTATCATAATTACATTTCTCGCCATTTGTTTCCATTTTCTTTCACAGGCGCAGTGACGGAGGACATTTGTACGTGTCCATGCTGGTGAAAGGCCATGGCAGTTCAATGTGACGGTGTGACGGTGCGACGCGGCCTCACCTTTGCTACGGGTCTGGTAGAATGTCTTTGTTTCGCCGGAGCCGTGTTCGGGTGGGCTTCGCTCGTTTTCGTCCTGAAGACGGACGGCTACTTCGGCTCAGGATGCGTCAACGTCACAAATTCCAATGCAACGCAGGCCCTGGGTCAGTTTGAAGTGCTCCTCCCCACTGCTTTTAATCATTTGTTCACGTTGATTTTAGCTGTATCTTGTGGCCTTTTATTAGATAGCAGGACGGGGGGAGAAGGGGCACCTCATCACCTGGATTCCTAAAATGAATTATGAATCTACATGTTTTTGTGTAGTCTTTGTCGGCCGGTTGGTTCACCTGTGTTTTGTATGTCTACAGATTGCAGTGGACAGGATGAGAAGTTTTCACTTGTTTTCACCATCGCCTCCTTTATGAACAATTTCCTAACACTGCCCAGCGGTTTCCTCTTTGACCACTTTGGCACGACAGTCGCTCGGCTGGTTGGAATGTGAGTCTGACCACATTTTAATTACTGAATAGTTAAAGGTCCGTGGATTTACAAGATTCCCTGTGTAATTTCCTCATATAACCCCGCCAGTCGTGTAGTTAAGAGGAATGCAGTGACAAACGCTAAGATATTAAGAGGCTGTGTGATTATTGAGCGTCGAGTGTGAGATTCAGCGAGTACTTTTTCCCTGCAGGTTTCCCTTCGTATGAACTGACGAGAGGTGTGACGGTTCATTTGAGAAGTTTGATTGTATTTTATTTAGGTATAAGATTCAATGCATCATCTAATTCTGTGTAAGCGAATATCTGTTTTGGCGTCAGAGTTGATTCATTTTTAATATTTAAAACAACAAGATGCCACTTGATTGAGGATTTTTATTTTAAAATCCTTGGACGCTCTTTAAGCTCTGGAGGTCTGGTCACTAAGACAATGTGTCCTGATGTTTTTCCTCTTAGACGGGTTCCTCATAATCGCCCTGCATGGCTGCAACATCCTTACCATGGAAGAATTCTTGTTAATTCCGTCTCTGTTCCAAATATGTTTGTGCTCTGTCAGCTCCTGTGAAGTAAAAGGGGGCTCGTAGGCCCCCTCATCGGATGTCACGTAAGGTAGACAGACGCAGCGTAGAAGCCAGAGCCGGACACACAAGGGAAATATGATGGAAAGAGGAAGAGAGAGTGAATGATGAATGAAGAAAAAGGAAAGTCAAGACCATGAGTCACCAGATGGAGAAATCTCAGAACGGAATATGTTCTTTTCTTTTTTTTTAAGCAGATGTTCGGACCCTGTGAAAAAGGAGAAGCTCTCCTTTATTGATATTCAGCAGAACTCCGCCCACACATATATATCTTTTCAGGGATCTCTAAATCCAGAATAACAAACTGCTTCTCAGGTCTCATATGATTCCACTAAAGGAGGATGGGCGGGAAAATGAAAGCCCAAGGAATGCAAATAATTGGAAAAGACCACCGAGGTCAGATCTTTGCCGTGAATTCAGCCACATCAGAAGAGGAGCCCACTTTTTAACTTAAACTTGAACTGAATGGGTGTCGACTGTTATTCATTCTAAAACAAATTGTCCTCGTCTTAAAACACAGATGTCTGTACACGTCGGGTACTCTGATGGTGGGCTTCTCAAATGCAGGTGAAAAACATTTCCACTTCTCTTTGTTTTTGGGCTTTTTCAGGAAACTCACTATTTAGAAATGAGTGTAGGTGTTACTGCTCTGGATGCTGACTTTTCCCGTCCGTCTTTCCCCTCAGCTTTGTCCTTCATGCTGTTCCCAGCTCTCTCCTTCCTGGCAACAGGTGGCGTCATGTTTCTAATAACAAACATGCAGGTACTGAAGAAGCATTTGAGATTAAAACGATTATTGTTAATTAATTAAGTTTCACATGGCCCAAGTTTACTTGTTGTGATAACTGATACCACCCAAACAAGAGTCTGAATGGCCAAATATCTTATTTATTATTTATAAAACAAAGAAAAGCAGCACAACTTCAAAGTGAATTATTGTTGATGAATTACGATCGATTAATCTGTTAATTCTTTGGGCTGTAATTAATATTTTCATATCTCAGTAGATGGTTGATATTTGCAAGGTTTAATGTTCAATATTGCAGTTTTCACCAAAGTGGAATTCTGTCAACTCATGAAAGCACTAAACAAAAGTCACTTAATAAGAACATAAATCAATGACTGACAGCCCTTTTGTTGACTGCGTTGCTTATTTTTAGACTCATTGACAGAGTAGATTTGAAAAAAAGGGGAAAAAAAGCCTAATTTTCACATTAAAATGCCAAATCTATTTAATTAAACGGACATTTCTGTGTTGAAGGTAGGAAACCTGTTCGGCTCACGTCGGTCCACCATCATCACCCTCTACAACGGAGCCTTTGACTCTTCATCAGCACTCTTCCTCGTCATCAAGGTAAAAAAACATCCCCGCGCACATTCTCACGTGACATGTCACTTTCCCGCCTGATGGCGTAATGGAGGTCTTCTCCTGCAGCTGCTACACGAGGCCGGCTTCTCCCTCCGCTCCTGCTTCATCTTCCTGTCCGCCTGCAGCGTCGTCCACCTCCTCAGGACCTTCTTCCTGCTGCCCAGACGCCACATCCCCTACACGCTGCCCGACGGCTACACATACGGGTACATCCAAGGAATCCCTGTGTGTTTGAAATGAGTCAACTTTGAAGCATTTCTTAAAGCTCTACTGGGGGGCTCTGGGCTGTGAAGACCCCCTGAACATGTGTCTGCTCCACTTCGGGGGGAAAAAAATATCAGAATAAAAATGTATATTAATACGCAAAGGATGATATAAATCAGTAGTAAAGGCAAAGAAACGGTTGGTTCTGGTTAAATCTTCCTCAATATTTTTGTCTTTCCTTTTTTAAATCTTAAGCAGCACAGTTTATTTTCACATCGCCAGGTCACGTTCCTTGAAAATATCAGTGATATGTTGTTATGTGAGAGGACAAATCAAAGTACGATTTCCCACGATTCTCTCTGGCAGTGGTTGACCCGCTGTAACCTTTGACCTTTGTCAGGATAACCTGCGGTAAATCAAAGACTCTGAGCCTTGAGCCCACAACAACAAATGGAAACGTGCAACCAGCGTCAGAGGAAAAGCCCCTCAACATGGACCTCCCCGTGAAACCAGGTGTGTTCACTTCACTGTCACAAGGATAATACGTAGTACTATCCGACTGAATAAAATAATTCTTCCCTCCTCTTGCAGAGAAAACTTTTGCCGAGTGTTTGAAGTCCAGGTTCTTCGTGTTGCAGCTGCTCTGGTTATCGATTATGCAGCTCAGGCATTACCTCTTCATTGGCACCCTCAACCCCATGCTGCAGCGGCTGACGGCCGGGGAGCCCTCGCTGGGTAAAAACGCCTGCCGGTCTGAGAAAACCTTTGTGCAAACCTTCCTTGCCGAGCCCGTGAAGCTTTATCAATTCCGACCCGATAACCTTGCAGAGGATTATACAAATAAAAAGCTACTGTCGAGGATGCAATAGTATTTTTTGAACTGTCCGAGTCCTTTGTCTCTAACTATCTTGTGCTTGCTTTGCGTGTCCCTGCAGTGAGCCAGTACATCAACGCATTCGCTATAACGCAGCTGTGCGGAGTGCTTTGTGCTCCTTGGAACGGCCTGATCATGGACAGACACAAAGGCAGAACCCGTGCTCCAGGTAACGTGCTACTCATAGCAAGCGCCAGTAAAAGACTCCCAACGGGCCACAGCCCTGGCAGATCCACTGTCAGTGTGTCCATGGACGTCTAAAATGAAAGCGAGAAGAGATGAATATTAACATGAATGACTGTAGGGCCTTGCACACCAATCTCATCTCCCTTTACAAATACATTAACAAGAACGATGGTGTGAGAAAACAACGTATTGATTCAAATTGTTGATTTCTCAAATTTTGTTTTGCATTGTTATATTCTCCTTTGGAGGAACAGCTTTGTCTTTATTTGTGTGTGTGTGTGTTTGTGTGTGTGTGTGTGTTTTAGGAGAGAGCGAACAGGAAGCAGACCTGCGGGCCTCTGTGCTTTCTCTCTTTCTGACGTCGCTGCAGTGCGTCGCGTTCTCACTTTGTGCCTCCATCCCATACCTGCCGCTTCAGTACCTCACCTTCGTCCTACAGGTGCTCAACCGCTCCTTCCTCTACGGCGGCAACGCAGCATTCATCAGCGTGGCGTGAGAACAAAGCACACATACACACCTTTGTGGACTAATCTTCTGTATTCCTTTATCTGCCTAAAATAAACTGTAACATTTCTTTTTTATGCGTGTGTGTTTGTAGTTTCCCATCGTGCCACTTTGGGAAGCTGTACGGTTCTGTACTGGCTCTGTCTGCAGTGCTTTCCGTCCTGCAGTATCCCTGCTTTGCCCTTGTGAATGGACCTCTGAATGGAAACCCTTTATATGTAAGTACACAACATACAACAGGTGCAACTACACATCTTATTATTGTCCTTTTCCTGCCTTTGCTTTCATCTTTATGAACTTAATGTGCCTGCAGGTGAACATTGCTCTGACGCTGTTCAGCCTGCTCACCTTCATCCATCCCCTCTCCGTCTTCCTGCACTGTCGAAGCCTCGCCTCCGGGCGAGCCAGGAGCACCTACTCCTAAAGTCTGTTAAACGTCACTCAAGACGTCTTTAATATCACCAGTCACACTTCCCGGTGTGTTTGTTTCATTCATTGTTGTCGTGTGCATCAAATCAAATGGTGGCAGCATTTCTCACACTCCCGGATCATTTTCACAGCCAAATTGAATTTATCCATAATAATTCAGATCTTCTGGTGTGCAATCTGATGAAGTCACGCGGTCGCGTTACATTACATGTCATTTAGCTGACGCTTTTATCCAAAGCGACTTACAAATAAGTGCATATCAACCATGAGGATACAAACCCAGAAGAACAAGAAGCAAGAAAGAGCAATAAGCCGATTCACAACTTGCCATACACACTTTTATTTTTCAATGCATGGATCAACTAGTTTTACACCTTTCAACAATTTTAATTAAACCAATATTTTACGTTTCTTGTTTCAAGTATTCTTATAATTCATTTATTGTAATATCAGCTAGCTCTCACACAAAGGCTGGATTCAAAGTGCCAAAATACAGACTGTGTGCTGAAAATGATAAACGGTTATATCAGCGTTGGCCTCTTTAACCTGAGAGGCGATCTGCTGGCAGGATTCTGTTTTTTATTATGAAAAGAGAAAATGTTTTTTTAGCAGGTGGTTTATGTTTAGGCTGTATACTTTGTGCAAAGACTGTAGAGGTTGTAATATTGTCTGAACGTACAGCCTGATCTCCAAAACCTGTTCATAAAAATGTATACGAAAATCTTGAACATACAAATTCGTAGTGATACATACTAAATAAATACGGACTGGTAACTGATGACGTCACCCTATTCAAAGTGAATGGGGACCTGCACCCCGTAAACACACTTTGTGAAGTCTAACGAGGTAAAATAAACGTGTTATGATTGCATTTTTAACGAGAAATCAATGTTAACTTGTAAGAATAGAATACTAACCCTAACCAACTCAAAAAATCCAACATGGCGGAGAGACGTTCACTCAGGGGGCGTGGTTAACCACCGCCAGTTAGTATGTATTGTTACAAATTTCGTATACAGGTTTTGGAGATCACGTTAACACATGCAAACTCTTCAGTGGTCTCAAGCAGATTAAATTCATTTTTTGACATGAACTATTATCTTTTTATATTCTTTATGGCCCCAAATAATATTTTGCCGGCAACTTTCTATTTTATATGATATACAGTATGTAATCCTGTGGGAAGCTATTTGAAAAAGACAAAATACACATGTATGTATGTTTTGCATTTTTAATAAAAGTATTTTTTGTATAATTCAATAAGTTCTTAATACATTTCTGGTCTATATAAATAATAGTATTAAATTGAAACTGAATTTCTGCAACCTACGTGTAATACCACCGCGAGCCACCAGAGGGCTGCGCCTCACAGTTTGAGAAACGCGCATCTATTAATGTAAGAAATATTGTTGTTGTTGATGTTTTGCAGAATTTCCAACAAATGTTGTTCAGTTATGCATTGGACTCTTAGATTTTTATGTTACCATACAAAGGCACCAGTTGATGTTAACATGAAATAACGATTTATGATAATTATAGTGACCTTTTTGCATATCAAAAGTGAGGTCACCTTGTTGGTGTGAAGTTTGTTTTGACGCGTGCAATAATCCTTGAGACGTCTCCAGTCGTCTTATAATAATAATAATATAATAATTTATTTTGTTCTCCAAACATGAACAGAAGATACCTCAGTTTCCAGTCCACCTTTCCTACTCAAAAATGAAAGGCAGGTAATCCTGCAGATCATATGGACCTTGCTGTCTAATTTAAACATAGTTCCCCCCCACCCCCCCCCCCCCCCCCCTCCAAAGTGGTGGGAGATTAACAATCAAAACAAGAACAAAATGGCTCTTACAATAATCATAAACCGTGTTATTTCTTTCTCTCTGTTCTTTCCTCCTCCACCTTTGTGGTTGTCTCGCTCAGAGAAGAGTTAAATTAACTTCTTCATTGGCGCCGTCAACCGTGCTGCAGCAACAGGCTGAGGGAGAACCTTCTCTGGGAAAACAAACACTGCTGCACACATCACACTGGGAATCTAAGGAGCTAAATTGTTATCGTCAAAGATTCTTCTGTAAAAAAAGGCACATTGATATTGGAACCTTTATGCAATTAAGCTCCACTGGTCTTTTAAAAAGGAAATCTGCATTGAAACATTTTAGAGGAGTGAGAAGTTGAAGTTCCAACAGGCAGCCAGAAGAGGATGACAAAGCCCCCGGCTTGATTATAAGAGAAATGGTAACAGTGTGGATATTCAAATCCTGAAGAAAGATCATGAAAGAAAAGCTGTTATTCATCATTCTAAATGAAATGGCTTCAGTTCAATTTATCTTGTATGGCCCAGAATCACAAATAGCCACATTCGTCGTCGTTGTGGCGCAGGGGTTAGAGAAGGTGTGCTGGGAAGCACAAGGTTGTTTGTTTGATTCCAGGCTGCCCCATGTTCCACGTCGAAGAGTCCCTGAGCAAGACACCTAACCCCTAATTGCTCCCCGGGCAAAAATGTGAAAAAGCCATGGGTTTAAAAGTGTAATGTAAGTCGCTTTGGATAAAAGCGTCTGGTAAATGACCTGTAATGTAATTTGCCTCTGAGGGATTTAGAATCTGTACACATGCAACATTCTCTGGCCCCAAAAACCTCTCCAAATGAAAAGGGAAAAGTACAATGATGTCATCCATTTGTACAGAATGAAGAACGTAAAGGATTAACGATTCGGTCGATGCAATTTGTTCAATTCAATATTGAGGAAAGGGAGAAGACTGGATCAATAAAGTACTGACACGTTCTGAAACAGAAGCATTTGAGCGATTGAATAGACAACTTGGCTGTGGAGAATACATTGTTTCCTCATTTTCTGGCAGATGTTTTTTAGCTGTTATTTTAGACGTGTGCCGCTGACAATCTTTTCCCTGCTTGGCGGTGAGCCAGTACACAAATGCCTCTGCCGTAAAGCCGCTGTGTGGTATAATGTGTGCTCGCTGTAACAGCCCCATCGTACGCAGACACAAGGGCAAACCTCGTGCTGCAGGTAACACAATGATACTGATGAGGACTTGTGATCAATCCAACCAGGCAAACAAGGCAACGTGATCTCCAAAACCTGTTCGTAAAAATGTATACGAAAATCTTGAACATACAAACTCGGTGGTTAACCACGCCCCTTGAGTGAACAACATGGCGGACCATGTTGGATTCTTGAGTGAACGTCTCTCCGCCATGTTGGCTTTTTGAAGGGGTTAGGGTTAGTATTCTATTCTTACTAGTTAACATTGATTTCTCGTTAAAAATGCAATCATAACACATTTATTTTACCTCGTTAGACTTCACAGTGTGAAGTGTGTTTACGGGGAGCAGGTCCCCATTCACTTTGAATAGGGTGACGTCATCAGTTGCAGTCCGTATTTATTTAGTATGTATCACTACAAATTTGTATGTTCTAGATTTTCGTATACATTTTTATGAACAGGTTTTGGAGATCAGGCTGAACAAGGATGTGACATGACTTTCTGTCGTCACTTATATCTCAATATCCCTTCTATAACAAGCTTGTTTGATCCAAATTAAATGCATCTATTGATATGAACATAAGTGGTAAAGTAAATACTACTTTTTATGTCTTGTCAGGAAACAATTATTAAGTTATAAGTTTTGTAAGAAATGTAATTGGAATCCAAACCATGACTGTATTTAAATAAACATTCCTATGAAGCATACATGCAAAAACTTGGACTCCAAACTATCCCTGGGGCAAGAGCTCCGACCCAAGTGTCTTTTTCAATAAAACACTTAAGACACTTTAGTTTTCTCATCACGTTTCTGCATTTAACGCTGGTCTTTTTCAATCCAATATTTCATCCAATATTGATGTTGAGACCTTTGCTGACAAAGAAAAGAGATGCCCACTGTCCGTCTCTGCCACACCGATTGTGTTCATAATGACTTCAACAATGTGCCAGGTAAGTGCAGAGTTGGAATTTGGGGAGAATCCTTTGCCCGTACTGATTTTACTGACGGGATTCACAGTCTGCCATCTCCACTCATTAGACTGGGGAGGAGTTTCCGCGTGGCTCCTCGTGGCAAAGAGGTTTCACACCAGGCCGAAGCGAAATGACAGGGACGCCACAACCCCCGCAACAGCCTCTCTCCAGTTCTCCGCGGGGCTGTGTGACATCGCAGCGAGCTCAGAACAACTGCAACTGTTTGGAGACTGTTGTCTGTGTTACTGTGTGTGTGTGTGTGAGTGTGTGTGCAGGGTACATATGCATGGTGACAAGCCCCCCCCCCCCCCCCCTCCCCTTTCATATGCGTCATTGTTGCTCCAATCTTTTTTTCTGGCATTTTAATAATACAGAACTGCATGAAAAAATGTGTGACGGAAATGGGAGCGAAGGCGGTGTGTGGCACAGTCTGTTAATGAGGGGACTGTTAGGTGTTTTGCTTTTTTACACACTGAAATGGTCGCAGATGTCTTTTATCACCCATAGGTTTGAATGTCTTGCAAAGTCGTTTTTTTTTTTTTTATTTAAGCAACAGGAACACTAGAAATAAGCTGCTTCATGTGCTGCTTTCCATGTGCTCTGCAGGGGGGCAATTATCTCTGGCACTGAATGACTGAGCAGGCTACATTGTGTGTGATGATCTGATATTTGGGTTGTATTTAGAAACAAAGCACATAATTACATGAGACTATAGGGAACTCGATGACTTTAAGGTTTCTCTTAACGGCAAAATTGTGACAAGAACTACGGAGCAGTTGTCTGATAGCATCCTCTGGATCAACTGTAAAACCTATTTACTCATGAAAGCAAATATAATAATAATCCACTAAGAAATTATCTATAGTATAAGATTTAAAGTAAAAAATGAAGAACAACATGGCTTTAAATTACTGAAAAAATAACAATCATTTTTTCCCCTACAAGGAAAGTTTCAAAAACAGTCATATTTAATAACACTGTCGAGGTCTTAAAAAATATGCAGTGCATCGGCAGTTGTTTATTTAATTGTTCTGACACAGTGCCTCATCTGCTGCAACTGCATCAAATGATTCAACGTCACGTTAAAAAAGTCTTGTCCGATCTTTGCTGTGCCAAATGACACCCACATTTTGTCTGATTCATACACTTCATACATCAGCCTCACGTTGCACGTAAAAGCTTGGATTTGAGGAATGTAAAAACGTTTGGTATTTGGTATTTCATGTTCTGTATCGCATAAAAATGGTTCAAAGGGTGGAATCGTGATCCGGCCCAAGTTCTGTGAGGAGTCAAGAAAGTAAAGATTCTTTTCTGTGTGTGTGTGCGGTTGTGTGCGTGTGTGTGTGTGTGTGTGTGTGTTGGGGATGGAGTCAGCAACACATTTCTTTTGGGATCCCAACAGAATCCCTGAACATGCTGTGTTCACACTTGAGTAAATACCAGTGTGCCCGTGATTCACTTTGACCCAGCAGGCTGGTGAGAAGATGTAAGAAAGGGGATCTGGGAGTGGACATGAGTGTGTGTACCTCTTGCCTTTACATTTATTGATCTGTGTGCATCACATGCACAGGTCAGAAACGACAAACACACACACATACAGGTACATACACGTGTCGGCCTGGATACTTGATCAATATTATGTAAAGGGCCCCAAGAACTTCCCCCCACACACATGCACACACACACGCATGCAGTCCCACAGCCTGAAGATGAAGTGTAGTTGGTGAGCTGGCCACCTCCCCCAGTTGCCTTTAGGGGGCCAAGAACAGCGTGATTAAATGCCATGCACCCCCCACACACTCACACACGTAACCTTCTGTGTGCCACAGACCCCCGCCGAGGCTCACGGCTGACTGGTGAGCTGTCTGCATCTACTAATCACTCCACCACAGCTAAACCGCGTGACTCCAGACGCCCAACTGATGCCCCGCGCTGGTCACAGCCTGTTTGTGCAGATGACCTCCCGCTGAGCAGGTTTCAGTGAGCGTTTGTTTGCTGGACAACAGACGACGTGCATCATGGTGGACCGGGCCTTGACCTATGCGGCGATGGGAGTAATCAGCTCTGAGTAAAACCTCCTCGCCCACCTCGCGCTGACTGCTTTTTCAACATGCAAGAAGACCTCTGAGTCCCGCTCCCCCCCGCACTGCACCACGCGCGCCTTCTCTGGTGGAAAAAAAAAAAGTTGACGGCGTCCTCTTGCACATCCTTCATCCATGTTGCCCATTGCAGCATCTGCATTAGGACCCAAGTCATCTTTCATAAGTGCAGAGGGGTGTTTGTTGGAGATACACGTACCTGAATGTAATGTGTAGTGGCAGATGTTTGTCATTGTGTGTCCCCTCTCCCTCCTCACATGCAGTCCGTATGTTGTGTCGGATTGCTCTGCTTGCACTGCTTTCGCCATCATGTTCATCTGTTGTTCTGAAATGTAGGCGGCTCTTGGCTCCTCTCCAGAACCGGCCTACACAATGAGACTGATGGCTCTTTGGTCCGCTACAAACACACCGAGCCTCTAGTTAAATAGTAGTCACGCTGTCAATGTGACCTTTGACACAGAAACTCTTAATTGGTTAGCACCCAAAACTCCATCCATCCCACTCCTCAACTGGCTTTCTCCCACCCACTGAATCCTATCAAACCACTCAAGTTCAGGATATATCCCTAAAAACAACGGAGAAACGCACAATGCTTATTTCATGCGTTTCATTGTGCCATTTAACTGCCCCATCACTGAATAATCTTGTTTAAATCTCACACAGTAATAATGAGGACAGTGATGAAAAGAAGCAAAAAAAAACGCCACTGCCTTTCTTGTCTCTTCCTCCCGGTGACTCCCCCCCCTCCTCCTCCTTCCTCCCTCCTCCCTCCTCCTCCCCGGCTGACGTAGAGAGAAACCTCCGCTGCCCACGGTCGTGGGCGGCGACCCTGCCGCGGGTATAAACAGCTTCGCGGGACTCCGGGCCGTCACAGCGACTCGTTCACCAGGGCCGAGCTCCAGCAGAGATAGCAGCGGCAAGCAGGCACTCACACGCCGCGCAGGCTAACTCGCTTTCGGCTTTGGTTCGAGATGGAGACCCGTTGCACCGCGAGGCGCTGCGGCGCGCGCAACTTTAAAGGTGAGTTGCTCTCCGGGACGCTTGGTTGTGTTGTGATTTAACTCGTTTTGTGGAGGTCTACTTGAACAAAAGGAAAAAACACGTTTGTGTTTAAACTTGTAAAATCGAGTTAATACTTATGTTAGAACAATTGGATTTGTAGACCTTGTGGTGATTTTACGCGCAGTCAAAATGCAAATATGCCTGATTTAAATGGTCAAGCAAGCTGTGCACGTTGCTCAACATCCTTTTTCATGTTGAAATCCCGTTTGTCCATTGTGGATGAATCTAAAAGACTGTCGCTCATAAAAGGAGACTCCACATTTGGGACATTTTAGTGCAACGGTTTGACATTTTTAATAAAATCATACGTACGGCTGCATGTATGTGTCATCGTCTGCTATAGAAAACGTGATCAAAGGAATCAATACGTTTGGCCTCACCAATAAAATGTATCAAGACTTCGACGTTCAATCTCTCCTCTTTTACGCATTAAGATCAGATCAATAAAACACGACTGTGAACTTAGTTGCTCATCTCATGATGACTCTGGGTTGAATAAGACGCACAAAAGACTACAAAGCCCGATCTCCTTTTCTCCAACAGCATCCAGCGCTGCTAAATAGTCCAACCCTTTAAAAAGGTCAAGAGGTGAGCCGATGGAAAATCTTGCGCAAAGGGATGAATGGGAACCTCATTATTATTACATGTATGTTGTTTTTAATTTGGTGGACACCTTTGCACGCCGTCATCCGAGCTGTGCCAAACAGCTGTTGCAATATTGATAAGAAACGAAACTGATCCAGGTCCGGTTGCCAGTTTTAAGCATGCTCTCTGCAACAGCGGAAAATGTCCCTTTGATAACCGGACAACTAGGAAACCACTCAATGAAACGCATTGAGGAACGTGCAATTCCCTTTTCGTGTCCCTTGCATGTATATGGTTGGTGAATAATTTCTTTGATGTAACCTGGTGAATTATACATGAACACCAAAGTTCTGTGAGTTGTCAACAAGTTACCTGTGACCAAACAGCAGCGGTGAAAACAAAAAGAAAGACTGGTGCCAAACGCTGAAATCAACCTCTCTTCCTGTGTGTGTGTCTCCTTTTCCAGAACTAACTGCTATAACAGTAGTAATTTGCTGTTAACCACACCTCCAATTATGTTCCTTTTTTAAATGAGAATTAACGCCCCTCTCTCTATCTCTCTGCAGGTGGACTTACCTTGTGGCTGATACTGTGGCTGGTGGTGGTGAAGCCGGGCGGGGTATCTGCATGTCCCAAGCTGTGTGTGTGTTACCCTTCGCCCATGACGGTCAGCTGCCAGTCCCAGAACATCACCATAGTGCCGGCCGGCGTGCCGTATGACTCACAGCGTGTTTTCCTGCAGAACAACCGCATCACGGAACTGCGCGCGGACTCTTTTGGCTTTGAGACACAGGTAGAAATGGCTTTCTGTGCATGTGTCCATCTGTTGAGTTCCCCACCAACGTCTGCAGACATTCTTATTAGTCTTTTCTTCTCATCTCTAATCGCATCATTCGCTCTTCATGATGTGCAGGTGCTTTGGCTTTATGGCAACAACATCACATGGATCGAGGCCGGGGCCTTCAGTAACCTCAGGGTGCTGGAGGAGCTGGATTTGGGCGATAATCCGCTGCAGCGCTTGGAAGGTGGAGCCTTCAGGGGCTTGGAGAAGCTGCAGAGCTTGCACATGCATCGCTGCAAGCTGGCAGCTCTCCCCCATGACCTCTTCCTCAAACTGTACAGCTTGCAATTTCTCTACCTGCAGGTAAACGCGGCACACCCGCTAAACACACACATAATGCACGAGTCGGTAGACCTATGACACAAGATTGCAAAGTCAGTCGACTCCAAATTCTCAGAACAGAGTAGTTTTGAGATTTAAAAAGTAAATTAAATAAAGGAATTTATTATTTCTTTTGCAAATTGTATATTTCCCACTTTTCATTCATTTTGGTGCCCCATGGAAATTAGCTTGCATTCAAGGCATCCTCCCTGTTGTTGAGCCTCACCTTTTGGAGTCTCTAACAATGAAGCTCTGTTCCAATCAGACAATAGTTCCCTGCCAAGAACAATCTCTCCAACATTCAGTTGGCCGAGGTCAGTTACGACCACCGTAAAGCGACGTTCAGATGGGAAATAGCCCAAGTGTACATGTATGTTATGGTAGGGATTAATTATCTCCGGTAACAGTTGATTGACTTTTCCAAAATCCCAAAATAAATCTTCATGTATTTTTGTCTTTGTTCCAGGACAACCAGCTCCACTTTTTGCAGGATGACCTGTTCTCAGATCTAGTCAACCTCAACCACCTCTTCCTGCATGGAAACCGCATCCGAGCCCTCTCCGAGAATGTGTTCAGAGGCCTGGTCAACCTGGACCGCCTCCTTCTCCACGACAACCGGGTCAGGCAGGTCAACCGTCGGGCTTTCCGTGACCTGGGTCGCCTGACCATCCTTTACCTGTTCAACAACTCACTGGCTGAGCTGCCAGGCCAGGCCATGAAAGACACCCAAGGCATCCAGTTCCTCCGCCTCAATGACAACCCCTGGTCCTGCGGCTGTGAGGCTCAAACCCTGTGGGAGTGGTTCCGCAAGGCCCGCATCTCCTCCTCTGAGCTCATGTGCACCTCACCATCCCAACGTCGCGGCCAGGACCTCCGATTCCTCAGGGAGATGGACTTCGCCCTCTGCCCTCTGCCTGACCCCGGCTCCTTGGCGGGAACCACCACGAAAACCTTCAGCACCAAGACCCGCTGGTGGTTCTCCAAGCACAAGCCTGCATCTTCATCCAAGGCCTCGTACAAGAAGACCACTGAGGCGGTAAAAGCCTTCCCTTTCCCCGCGGGAAAGCCTCAGTCCCTCCCCAAAACCCCCTCCGAGACCTTCTCCTCCAAGTACGAACTGTCGGAGGATGAGGCGGCGCTCCCCAAGCTGGACCAAGAAGAATACTGGTCCAACTACGGAAACGAAGACGCCTCCGTTCCCTGCTTCGATCTGGAGTGCCCGCCAGGCTACAACAACCGAGCCTTCCCCTCATCGTCTTCCATGCCCAGCACCCCGTCCCTCCTCCACCTCCTCTCCCTCTGCATCGTCAGATTCTCCCTCCATTTTCTTTTTGGCTGAACTCTTCTCTCCTCCACTCCATTTTCTTCCTTCTGATTTCTCCCTGGGCTCTTTCCGACTCTTGACAAAAAATAACCTAATTCCTTTCAGTTACCTCCTCGACACGCAGGAGGTGCTACACTGATGCAGGTGACATACATGCAAGGGAGCTGTTGAGCTGATGTAGAGCAGGGCAGAAGTTCTATATTGAAGTAGCTGCTGCTGACGAGTACAGGCTTTAAACAGTAGGGCTCAGACCATTGAATCTGACTCCGATAGTGGCGGCGAAAAAAAGACGAAACCTACCACAACATGAGGAAAGGATAGACGACTACGCTCACAGACAGTTGGGGACGTCTCCATACGTCTTTTAATATCAGCTGTAAACAACGCAGGCGTTGGGGATCGTCGATCATCAGCTATTTTCTATATTCAGAGCATACCATCCACTCACTGCTTGCATTGTCCCTTACTAATCATTCTACCGATGCAATGTGAGCTTAAGATACGCATTCAAAGGCAGAGAATGTTGAGAGGCTCATTAGAACTGCAGCCGAGAGCGGCTCTCCTTTCTTCTTCCGCTTCAAAACCCAAAGGTGCACGCAAACCACCACCGCCCACTCTTGTACATACTAGGCATCATGACTGTACATATCACATCCTGAACTACTCTGTATTTAAGACTAGCTGGATTTTGTACTTTTCATTTCATTACCATTCAATGAAGGACAGCTTGTGGTGATAGAAGAGATACATAGGTTGTAAGTGGAAGGCAAACCGATGAAAAGTGGAAACTCCTCTTTTGCCCCTCGTGTTTTTTTTGTCTCGTCCTTTTCTCAGGCAACCAACAGATGTTCTGCTCCAGGTTCTGAGTTTCTGTGTGTGCGTGTGTGTGTGTGTGCGTGCGTGTGTGGTGTGTGTGTGTGTGTGTTTGAGTTAGTTTTTGTTGGCCGTTGCTGAGAGAGTTCGATTAGGTCTTCTCTTTAACGCTTGTGTTTATGTGTCTGTTTTTCCAAACAGGGCAAGGCTAAATCCTTTACAGCCCTTTGTGTTGTTTGAAGCATCAGGTGCCTCTATTGTCTCCTGTTGCATCATAGGTTACAGACCTGTAGGGACTAAGAACTATACTGTTTCAGAAATGCGTGGGAAGAAAACTGTTCGATTTACATTTGCTAAATTCAAGGTATTTTCATCCAAATGTTGTATTGGTACTACGGGAACTACAGAGCACTATTAGACCATGTGGGCGATCAAGCTGTCATACAACAAATCATCTTTTTCATATTAAAGCTGTACTTTATAAGATAACCTTTATGACTCCACTGTGTGTTTGAGTTTATGGGCGGTCTGTTCAGCACGATGCCAGTCTGACCTGATTGTGATCGAACTGCAAGTTCATTGTCAATCCCAAATGATAGAAAGTTAAAACCTATCAACCGACACTGTAAATGAGTTTCTACACAAGAAGGATGCTGTGACACTGATAGATCCTGTATTTTTCAAAAACCTGTTGGAAAAATGTTTTGCTTAATTGAAATAAAGAAACAAACAAAAGAGAACGGGGCGCTTCATTGCTTTTTTCATAGAGCACACACACACAATGTATACAAAGAACAAACCATCGCCAAGTGATTTATCGATTCTGAATAAAATGGAAATCAGTTTCACAATAAAAGCCCGGTAAAATGAGAGAATCATGAGCATGAATATGTTCAGTATCATCAGAGCGGCCGTTCATTTTGAAACTCGACAGCTGTATCACAGACAGGACTCGTTTCTTTGAAGAAACCAAACCGCTAAGAAAAGGGAGGCGATATCAAGAGAGTGTGTGTGTGTTTGTGTGTGTGTGTGTGTGTCAAAGTGTAAGAAATCCAATGTGACATTGTGGGTGTGTTAGGTGAAGGTCACCGATCTCAACTGCTTTCACTCTTTGCCCCAGTCACTTTCTCACCAAGCAGAAGGCAGCTATATTGGGCCTTATTATGATGAGCTATCAACGTGTGTGTGTGTGTGTGTGTGTGTGTGTGTGTGTGTGTGTGTGTGTGTGTGTGTGTGTGTGTGTGTGTGTGTGTGTGTATGATTCAGGGAAGGGGGTGAACGGGGAACACGCCAGGATGAAAATGTGACGATGTGTCCTGGAATCAGCACACCCCCTCAACAGATTAGCTAATGCCATGATAATGATGCACACGCGAATGTGTTGATTAACTTAAATGTGCAAATAAATACTTACACAAACAAGTTATAAAGGTCAGACAAGTTTGGCTGAACAGCCCTTTAATCTTTCTCATTTCCAAGCGCACAAAGCATTCATCACTTTCACACCTCGCTTTTGTTCTTCTTTTCTCTCTTTTTTTCTCACTTCTGTGACTAAAGTTTCCTCACTTCTCCCAGTTAAAGGTCACAGCAGATAAATCCTCAAACCCTCATACTGTATTTTGTTGTCCATAACCACATTTTTCTATCTCAACTTTTCATTTCCTTAAATGTAACATGCACATTTAGACAACAAAGAAGGTCAATTTAAAGTTGAGGGTGCAGAGGGACGACATCACTATTGTTTATTGTCCTGTGATCGGCTGCAGAAGCAACAACGTTAAATATGCTGACCTGAACATTCATGGTTACATCTTGTTGTCTGGTGTTTAGCTTTTTGGTTGCCTTTGGAGATACAAGCAAGGTGTTGTGCAGCAGCTTGAAAATTGTTAACCAGGTCAGTAGAAGTAGATGTTGAAACCCCCAAAAAACATGCAAAAGATACCAAATTTCCATCAAGATACAAAATTGTAACAGTGTAAAAAAAATGCTGTTTCAATGAAACCATAAGTGTGCCCACAACTATTCACAATGTAAAACAATCCGAGGGGTACCGTGTTACTTCTTTATCATAAGTTGTTAGCGGTTTGAAGGATGAGAAGATTATTACCAGCAGAGGGTGAATAAATGTGTTCCATAAAATGTCTACAAATTGCTTAAAGGATTCCTTAAACAAAAATGATTTGTGGCAGTCGCGGCTTTGACCATCATGTAGGTTTAGACTTTTATGGATATTCAGGAATCAGGAATCAGGAAATCAGGAATCAGGAAACATTTATTAGCCAAAATATGTCAAACATACAAGGAATTTGTCTTGGCGGTTAGTGCGCGACAGTAGACAGACAAGACAACAGTGCACAAGTAATAAAATAAAGTGGAATGAAATGCTAGTGCAATGGGTTAGTAGAATAAGGCTAAGGCTATGGGTTAGTATAAAACAAGGGAATAAAGTTAAAAAATGTTAAATATTAAAAAGTTAAAGAAAAGTATTAAGCATAAAGTGCACTAACAAACAAGTAACAGACAAGAGACAAAGTGACAAGTGACAAAGTGATGAATTGCAGTTAAAGTGGCATGTGCAGTGTGAGGGGGAGTGACCGGTGGAATGTTATAGTCAGGCAGTGGGGGACCGGGCTCTGTTGATGAGCCCGACTGCCGACGGGAAGAAACTGTTCGTGTGGCGGGAGGTCGTAGTCCTGATGGACCTCAGCCTCCTGCCAGATGGAAGGGGCACAAACAGTTTATGTCCGGGGTGGGAGGGGTCGGCCGCGATCTTTTTAGCTCGCTTCAGAGACCTGGAAGCGAACAAGTCCTGCAGGGACGGCAGATTGCAGCCGATCACCCTCTCTGCAGAGCGGATGACACGCTGAAGCCTGCCCTTGTCCTTGGCTGTGGCTGCAGCGTACCAGACGGTGATGGAGGAGCAGAGGATGGACTCGATGATGGCCGTGTAGAAGTGGACCATCATCGTCTTTGGCAGGTTGAGTTTCTTCAGCTGCCTCAGGAAGAACAACCTCTGCTGAGCCTTCTTGGTGATGGAGCTGATGTTCAGCTCCCACTTGAGGTCCTGGGTGATGATGGAGCCCAGGAAACGGAAGGAATCCACAATAGTGACGGGGGAGTCACACAGGGTGATGGGGGAGGTTGGGGCTCTGTTCCTCCTGAAATCCACAACCATCTCCACTGTCTTTAGAGCGTTAAGCTCCAGGTTGTTCTGGCTGCACCACGACACCAGATGGTCAGACTCCCACCTGTAGGCGGACTCGTCCCCACCAGAGATTAGTCCAATGAGGGTGGTGTCATCCGCAAACTTTAGGAGCTTGACGGACTGATGACTGGAGGTGCAGCTGTTGGTGTACAGGGAGAAGAGCAGAGGGGAAAGAACGCAGCCTTGGGGGGAACCGGTGCTGATGGTCCGAGAGGCTGAGACATGTTTCCCCAGCTTCATGTGCTGCTTCCTGTCTGACAGGAAGTCTGTGATCCACTTGCAGGTGGAGTCGGGCACGTGCAGCTGGGAGAGTTTGTCCTGCAGCAGAGACGGGATGATAGTGTTGAAAGCAGAGCTGAAGTCCACAAACAGGATCCTGGCGTAGGTTCCTGGGGAGTCCAGATGCTGGAGGATGTAGTGGAGGGCCATGTTGACAGCGTCGTCCACAGACCTGTTGGCTCTGTAGGCGAACTGCAGGGGGTCCAGGAGGGGGTCGGTGAGGGACTTCAGGTGGGTCAGGACGAGCCGTTCAAAAGACTTCATGACTACAGAGGTCAGGGCGACGGGCCTGTAGTCATTGAGTCCTGTGATCCTGGACTTCTTGGGGACAGGGATGATGGTGGAGGCCTTGAAGCAGGCTGGTACGTGGCATGTCTCCAAGGAGGTGTTGAAGATGTCAGTGAACACCGGAGACAGCTGGTCAGCACAATGCTTCAGGGAGTGAGGGGAAACGGAGGGGAATCATATTATTTGTGAAAACAAGAGAAATATCACTAGTGTGAAAGGACGCTTGTCGATTCAAGTTTTTAAGGAGTTGCACGCAGATTGTGTCACGAATAATGAACATCGTGACCAATGGCATGGCAAAAAAAGAATCCGTAAAAAGAGTTTACTAAAACGTTAATTAAAAAAAACTATAGCTGCATCATCTCATGGAAATGTGCAGGAGGCAGTAATGAACGACTGGCTCATGCTGCCATGGTAAACCACCCCGAGACACGCACATCTAAAACCTGACTCGCGACCCTTGCGCTTGGCCTCCCTGTGCTTCCCAGTTGCTGTTTCACGGCAAAAGTGTAGGCGAGGCCTGCGAGCGGCTGCTTGCTTGGGACGTCTTTGCTGTTTTTCCGGTGCAGGAACACAAGCAGACCATTAGCAGAGAGGATTCCTCTGAAGTCATCAGAACTCGATGTGCCCACTCGTTCACCCCCAACTCTCTACGCCGTTCTTCCTCTCGCCTCTGCCTCACTTCCTCCCTTTTGTGCGTTTGCCTGCTCTTCGTGTGCTGTCGCTCGGCCCTTTTCTGAATCCCCATCACTCTCCCTCTCTCTCTGCCTGCCTGTCACAAAATCTCCCCCACATGGTTATTCTTGTCTTGGCTTTTCTTGTCGGCTTGTGTGAGTTGACGTGATTGTTTGCGTGTTTGCTGACGTTCTTATTTGCATCGGAAGGACGGAGCCTCGCGCCCTGACGTCAGGAGGATGAAATAGATCATTCACCCGGGTTTTTACCCTGAACCAATATAATACAATATAATGTGACAGGACAATGCTGCTTTTAACGTGACGTCCATAATTGATGAAAATTATTTCCAGCACCGTTGCGCCCAGCAGGTCACATGTGCAGTGTGTGGAAACATGAACCTCATGCTCCTCATGACTCACCAAACAGAGACGAGTGAATAAATCATCGAAGCGCTGACTATTCTCACGCTACACGGAGACTTTGCCACGAGTTCACCTTCTAAAGAAGAAAATAATGAGGCCTTTGCTTTTTTGTGTGTCTCACTGCGTAAAAAGCGATATTTGCCAAAATGATTCTTACCAAAAGGCCCAAAAGGAGAAGACAATGAGGTTGCTTCTAACTCATGTGTTTTATCATTTCATATGTTTTCATAATCTCAAAAGCTTTTTCTTCATGTAAATCAATATGTAACATTTCAGAGACAAGCGTTCAGAGACAATATCTCAGTATAGTGAACACTGAATTGCAACTCTGAAAAAAAACATTGCATATAGAGTTCAAATACTCAGGTTTTCCCTGCTTTGGTGTCAGGTAGGAGGCCTTATCGATGGCATCCGCTCAGCCGTTGCTTTCTTTAATGTTTGGCATTTGGCCTGTTTTTATACCTATACATGTGAGTTACTTTCTTCATTATATCTTGGACACAACCCTCGCTCCGTTTTTAGGTGTAAACCCCCTGTTAAGCAAGCATTTCGCCATTAGCGTCACAAGACCTGAGAGGCTGTGAAATTAAATATATACAGAATTATCTGTTTGGTTGGTCTGCAAACAAATCATAGCAGCATCACCTATTATCTTTGTAAAAAAAAAAAACAGCTACTGTAAGAAAAACTGAAAAACTGAAAAACACAAAAACACACACTGATGGAGGAGTCTCTACTTTTATTCGATTCCCTCTGCATCTTCTCCACCGACGAGACGTGGCGGTAATTTAAGGGTAACCTTTCCTCACGCATCCAACTGTTAAATTAAAATGAACAAAAATAAAAAAGAGACTTAATAATCAGAAGATGCAAAGTCGTAGAGAGCAGCAAACCTCGATGGACAAATGGATTTTTGAATGAAATATCTGTGTACTTTTGTGTTCCCACATTTGCGTACCCACAGAAATATGTGGGTGCACGCGAGCGAGAAACATTGTTGTGCAGCGTGGAGGCAACCAAGAGCTCTTTGCCACCGGCAAAGGAGAGAGAGAGAGAGAGAGAGAGAGAGAGAGAGAGAGAGAGAGAGAGAGGGAGAGGGGGGGGGACCGCGGGGTGAAGACAGGCCACATCTGGTCCAACCGTCTGGGCGCCCGCGAAGCTTTACGCACACGGCTAAAAATACACGCCGCAACAGACTGCGAGGGCAGATCGGGATCCAAAGACATCAGAGATTCACTGCGTCCTTTGGGTCTGTTCGGCTTCAGCGAGGGTGACACGCCGAGCGAAAGATGCAATCATATGGTTGGGACAAGCCGCTTTGAAAGCGACAGCACGGCCAAGATGAAGTGCGGGCCTTTGAGTTGGTTGTGAACAAAAGAACAGCTATTGTGCGAGCGCCTGTGAGTCAGTCACACCGCCTCGCTCTGGGAGGTTACATACAGGCCCGTGTTTGCTGGCACGGACGCAGCTTGTGACGTGCTTTCCGGCGATTCTGTTTTGTGGGCCCAAAAATGTGAGACACGTGTATTCGATATTGCCACCGGAGCAACACCACGTTTGGTGTTGACCTGTGTTGCTCTACAGGTGTTTCCTCTTGCTTGTTGGTTTTTAGGTACTATATCTTGCTGCCGTCTCACTCAAGTCTACAACTGGGAATCTGGCAAGTACTTGGAAGGATGCGGAGCGCAACCCTTGGGCCCTTCGTTCATCTGTCCCGCTGTCGGAGGAGGACATCACACAGATCTCCTGCTGAAGCAGCCAGAAGGGGAACTTGATTTCAGAGCGTGTCTCGGTTTAAGCTGAATGGATGACGCAAATAACGAAAAAGTCAAAAGTCTCTCATAAGTCAGGAATCCAAACGCGCCATCTGTGAATCAAAAGTGTTTCATTTAAAAATTCAAATTGTTACATTTTATACGATTTTCAAACATATTGTGATACAAAATAAAAGCCAGGAAAGTGGCCTCTATGTGAAGCTGCCACATTCCTGCTGTAGAAATGCAAGCAAATTCCCCTTTGAAGCCTACAAAACGTTGCTAAAGTTGTCAACAACAACGATTGATGGACTGTCTACGTACCGTAGATGCAATAACAAACATGTTAAAGAATACAACTCAGTAAATGGTATGTAAATGTTTCTGTAACCTAAACCATCCCATTAATGGTTTCTTCCGTTAAATCCAAACCCCTTCCAGAGTGGCGCTTTGGTACAGTCCAGGTGCGCATTATTTTGGTTACAGCAATGGCGCCAAAAGCAGGTCGGTGTGTAACGTTAGTGTGGCATTTATCGTGAAGAACTGTAACTCTGACATCTGGCAACAACAATATACACGCGGTGCATATTGTTGTTAGTTGATACACGACTTATAACACGTCACAGAAGTGTGGTCGTTTTAACGCTGCTACTCGCTCACTTGTTTAACGGTGTGCTGCGTTTAAAGCATCTCTAAGCATAAAACGTGAAATTAAAGCCAACGTGTCTCTGACGTGCGTTTCAGGTCGTCGCGGGACGAAACGCAAAGCGGAGGTTGAGGAGGCAGAAGAGGAGAAGAAGGACAGAGGAGACGGGGAGGACGGACAGGAAGGCCAAAGGGTGGTCATTGAACACTGGTGAGCGACTTATATTAAAGTATTTGCCTCTAGTCAAATAAAACACGGCAATAGTCAAAGGCATGTAGTTTGAAGTCGTTACGTCACCAACGCGGAAGTGACGCGACGTGATTGAGGTAATGGCTATGCGGTTGAAAGCAAGTTGTCACACTTGACCAGATTCACTGAAATCTGTAGTTGCAGGATCAGAGCTTTTCTGGATTTCTCACTTGCAACCAAAAATCTATCGCTTTTTCTCTCTTTCTCTTATTTTTTGGGGGGGGCAAAACCTCCTAAATAAATCCTCATCTTCTGAAGGAGTATGTAGGCACACTTGAACTCCTAATGATTGACACTCGGGGTTGACTTCATTTGAATAGAAGCGCACAATTGTGGTTTTTGAGGAAAGCACCTTTGAAGTTGTACTAAAGAACGGTGCTTGAATAGATGCACATGGTTGTTTTATCACATGAAGGCACGCTCCATATTCATCACTTCCACCTGCTGGTTGGTCTGGTTCTTTCTGGCAGCAAGAGCTGATGGGTGTACAGGCGTCATGCTGAGGAGGTGAAATCTGCCCTCCTGGCTGCCCAGCCTGAACTGACTGTGGTCATCAACCCGGAGAAACCTCGCAGGAAATGCTTTGAGATCACCCTGCTGGATGGAGGCAAAGGTGAGGAGGATGGAAAGGGAAACTACAAGTACTACAAGCCATTTAATTACAAACCATAAAACCATATTTCTACAATCTCTGGTTTTTACTGCTGAGGTTACGAGATATTCTCCTCTGAGATGTAGACTAGACAATAAATATAATAATTCTATCGTTACAGCAAAGTGCATACCCTGAAACATGGCCCAGCTACTCCGGAGTTATCCTAACTTTGGATATCTTCACATTAAACTGTTTCTCTTTTTTTTAACCGTTCATAGCAAGGCCTGTGGATCATTAGGAGTAAATTGGGGCATTGTAGAAGGACTAATAAGAGCAGGGCGTATTTCAGCAGGTGTACATACAAGCATGTGGTGTGAACTCAAACTTCAGAAATAACCATAATTCTATTAAACATACACTTTTTTTCCCCAACCATTCATTAAAGCCATTCCACAAAATGTAATTTAATTCATATATGGACTTCATATTAACTGTAAATCTAACTTGTCAAGTATGTGAAAAATTAAAAAGCAAACTATGCATATAGTGCCCATGTCATGGGCAAACATGTTTATGCGTTAATAAGTGTGATTTGTTTTTTACCAAATTAAAGATATTGGTACAGCCATTGCTCTTTACTGTTTGTTTTTAAATGTCAGAGGCCACATGTCTTAAATTGGTCTTGATTGCATTTTATTTTAATGCCATCTTAGAGGTTATTATACATTGAGAATATTTCTTATCTTCTCAATTGTCCCTACAAGTGACACTGTTTCCTTACGTCACATCCCCATAGAAACCGGTCTGTGGACTGGAATAAAGAGGGGTCCTCCTGCCAGGCTCAAGTTTCCTCAACCTGATGTCGTAGTCGCTGCTCTGCAGGAGGCTCAGAAGGCTGAGTAGACGCACAGTGAAGGTTTGTCATTTCTAAGCCCTCCGAATGCATACAACACAGAAAACTCTTCTTTTGTTTGTTTTCAAACCTTTGCAATTTCTATTCCCTTTTTCTCCTGTAATTCCTGGAAAGGCCATTAACCAAACTGTATACACATAGTTGTTTTTACTAGTATCTCCAAAGATACTCCTTAAGCCATTGAGGCTGTCAAATATTTGTCTGGATTCACTGTTTCCTTTAATGTTTTTCCCCAGAGCCATATGTCATAGCCTAAACTTTGATTGCATTTTGTGTCCTAACATTTTAAGCGCCAGCCTAGAGCTGACTTACTGCTAGTTTTCTATTTTATGTTTACATTTCCAAAACATGACTTTGTTGGTCTCCATAATTTGCTTCATACACCTTCATTCCTGTATTGTATGTACATGTCTACACTGCTTCTTGTCGAGTTATGTGAAGCATGACTTGACTTGTTTGCAGCCATGAGTTCAGGAGGTGCAGCCCATGGAAGCAGAATGACGAAGAGAGACCAATGGGATCTTCCCAGTCTCTCCTCTGATGGTTTAAGCTCCAACAGCTCAGTCTCCTGGATGCATGGGGACACCTAGTGGACCGTCTCTGAGCCGATATATTTCTAAACTGTTAAGTGCTGCTGTTTGAAAAAAAAAAGAAGCATTGATTGTGCTTTTAATAAATAAAGTGTCTTTTTTCTCAATTATTGTGTGTCTCTTTTTTCTACTCAAGTTATTTGTCTCTGGAAAGTTATCCATTTCACACCGACATCCCCAAGATTTTATTTTCTATACAGCGAAGAGGTGGAAAGTAACTCCACTAAAGTCAATATTGCTTTTCCAATATGTTAGATTGTTACCAAGAACATTTCATCTTTTAAACCTATATCGAAAGAATTAAAACGCACATTCATTTCAAACGTTTTGCGCGAGCCTCCAGCCGACGTTGAACATTATTGGTTGAGAGAGATGTGACCTCATCATCACGCGACCAACCACGGCGTTGGCCTTCGAGAGCTGGGAACCTACTTTTCAAACTACGACAGGCTTGAATTTAGGCAGTAAGTATTTCAGCATGTAAAAAACTAACCCGTAGACATTCACCTGGCAATGTGGAAATAGTTTACTGACATCGGACGCGTTTATAAGCTTTTTTTTTTACTGAAAATGGGACTGTGTTACGGCTACGGCTTGCTAACCGCTGGCTAGCTAGCGTTGGTTGTTTTCTTCCATGAAAGTGACCAATGAGCTAAACTGTTTCCTCACAGTGTGCTCACACTTTGGCTGAGAGTTGGTACCTACTTATATATTTTGAATTCACCATGCTAACATTAAGAAAGACTGGATCTAATTTTTGGCCGCTCCAGTCCGTCCTTCGTAACGTTAACAGTGACGTTATCATAATTAGCGAAGGCCACTAACTGACTAACGTGACTCGTTCATGTCTCTCAGAAAGTTTATTTTTTAGTATGTGGATATAAGTTAGTTAATAAAATGTGTATAATAATGTGTAAATGTGTCTTATTCAGGTTAATACTTCATTAATACACTGTTATACCATTTTAGCTTGGACTCTTATGTAACATTGCCATTGGTGATGTGTCAATACACAATTAACTTTTAATTAAATCATTTGTTTATCAAGTTTATCAATAGTCTTGATATCTTATAGTGTGAATGTATTATGATAGTATTCTTGTAAAAGCTTGACACTGTTTGGGTCATTGTGATAACTTGTATATGATGGTCCTTCTCTTTTAAATAAGTTAGTGCCTTGTATTTGTAACATGCAGTTTCTCCTGTCAGTCATGGCAACAGACGGTGTGGAATCGACTAGTGAAGAGGTCCCGGTTCCTGGGAAGGTCAGCACCAGGTTTGACCTGGAGAAGGAGACGGAACTTCGGTTTGAGGTGGAGGCCGGGGAGGCAGTGGAGCAGGTGGAGCTGGAGCTCCTTACAGGCATGGCGGAGGTGTTTGGCTCCGAGCTGAACCGCAACAAGAAGTACACATTTGGACCGGGCGCTAAGATTGCAGTTTTCACTTGGCAAGGCTGCAGTGTCAATCTTTATGGGAAGCCAGAGGTCAGCACTTTTTTTTTTTTAAAGCCATGTCCATGCAAATGTTTTTCCCACGTTGAATATGGTATCACATTTAACCCTTTCCGGCTTCTTGAGTTTGACCTTTTGGTTAATGGAAGGTTCAGATAACCACCATCTACCCCACATCACCACAGGTGGCTTATGTTTCAAAGGATACTCCCATGCTGCTTTACCTGAACACACATGCTGCCCTGGAACAGATGAGAAAACAAGCAGAGAGGGACAACGAGAGGGGGCCGAGGGTATGTTTGAATAAGAACACTCCTGTTTTTAGAGGCCTTTAAATGCAAGGTTCCCAGATCTCAATAAATGCATTTCAATTGACCTCATATAATTAATTATCCCGCAGGTGATGGTGGTTGGACCTACAGATGTGGGAAAGTCAACAGTGTGCCGTCTGCTACTAAGCTATGCTGTAAGGGTGGGCCGGAGGCCAACGTTGGTGGAACTGGATGTTGGACAGAGTGGGGTAAGATGAATTGGAGTCATAATAAACATTCTTTTATTAGTCCATGAAATCCTGATTTTTCCAGTGCTCTCAGTGTTGCTGTTTTAGTGTGTCAGATTTGATTGTGTCAATTGTATTCTGCTCGTCAGGTGTCTGTACCCGGTACAGTGTCGGCACTGTGCATTGAGCGCCCGGCAGATGTAGAGGAGGGTTTTTCAGTCCAGGCTCCTTTGGTGTACCACTTTGGCTCTACTACCCCTGGGACCAATATCAAACTATATAATAAGGTCAGTAAGCAAATATTCTGTTAATGTTTAATGTTGCTTAACAACATGCAGCCAAAAGCCCACTGCCCGGCTGTGGATTTAGGCTGCACTGTCATCTTTTTCTTTTTTTTTAGTTTTTCTCTGCCCAGTTTAATCACTTCTTTTCTTATGTTTTTTACGAATATGTAGCTAACGTCGTGCTTAGCCGAGGTGTTTTCCCAGCGCTGTGAGGTGAACCGGAAAGCTAGTGTGGGCGGCTGCATCATCAACACCTGCGGCTGGGTGAAGGGCTCTGGATACCAGGCTCTAGTGCACTGTGCCTCTGCCTTCGAGGTGGACGTGGTGCTGGTGCTGGACCACGAGCGGCTCTACAATGAACTCAAACGAGACCTCCCCCACTTTGTGCGGGTTGTTCTCCTACCCAAGTCCGGGGGGGTCGTAGAGCGCTCCAAGGAGTGCCGGCGGGACACGCGGGATGAGAAGATCCGTGAGTATTTCTACGGCTTCCGTGGAGTGACCTTCTACCCCTTCTCCTACGAAGTGCGTTTCTCCGACGTCCGCATCTACAAAATCGGAGCGCCATCCATCCCGGACTCTTGCTTGCCACTGGGAATGTCTCAGGATGACACACAGCTAAAGCTTGTGCCCGTGACGCCGGGGAGGGACCTCACGTATCATGTGCTAAGCGTGAGCAGTGCAGAGGACGGAGAGGAAGGTGCCAGAAAGGGTATTGTAGAGAGCCCCGTGTGTGGCTTTATAGTGGTGACTAATGTGGACACTCAGACACAGGTGATGAAAGTGCTGTCCCCAGCGCCCAGACCACTGCCCAGGCACACGCTACTCATCATGGACATCCGCTTCATGGACATGAAATGAAGGGAAGAGCACTTTGTTGGGGAGGAGTTCTGTAAAGAAATGTAGTTTCCTAGTTGGGTCTTTGTGTTTCTCTGTATGAGCTAAAGATGGCAAAAGATGGAAGGTTCAGTACAGTTGCTGTAAATTATACCCTGTTTTTTAGCCCACAATGCACAGATGTTTGGGAAATATGTGGCACGGGATGTTTTTATCAGTGCCCTAATCACCTTTTTGATAATGTTTCATCTACATTGTTTTTCTTCTGCGTAATAAATTTCTGAAATGTAAAACATTTGGTGTCAGAGATGTTACTTTAATGGTCTAATATGTTTTGTAAATCATTTCAAATGCACATCGATTGTAGCTCATTTGCATATTGTTTGTACTAAAGCTGAATAATTGTGAAATGATCCAGTATTTCCCTAAAATAAGGAAATACTACCAACTAGATGTTCTTTAATTGTGTGTCGAACCTTCACAGAATGAACAGAAATATAATGTAATCCTCAGAATGAACGTTTCCAGTGTTCCAACCCACAACCCTAATCTGAATATCTCAGTGACATCTCTTAATAAGTGGGTAGAGCGTTGCATAATGAGCCATTTTAAATTAAATGTGGCCTGGTGGAAACATTATTGGATAACTTTCAGACGTTTACCAGTCAATTTAAAAAGGAGCTTAAACTGTCAAATCAATCCGTTTCGCCGGTAGCGAAACTATTCACGCCCTGCGCCGTGATTGGTTCCGCCGCTTCTCCAAACCACACCTGCTCGGCCTCTGATTGGCTGTTCACCCCACCTGAGGGACGACAGGCTAGTTCCGGGATTCCGATGTCGGCCTAGCGAGCGAGCTAAAGTGGTTTGCTAGCGGCTAACTCAAGGAGGACCGTAGCGACCAACACCCTACCGGCTAGACAGCTCGCATGTTGCCTACTAGGTATGTACTGCTCATTTTACCGCCTCTGTGCGGCGACTGTTTGAAGGAACGGGCGTTCGTTTATCCCGTGTACCGTCAGCAAAAGCTGCCCCGCGAATGTAAAGCTCCCGAAACTAGCCAGCCAGGTAACGTTAGCTAACTCTTCGCTGTTGTAAAGGACCGAGCGGTGTCGCAAAAAAACTTTCGACGCTAGGTAGGAGCTAGCTGATTAATACGTATGGGTCGTGTGAAAGTCTGCCGCATTTTAATTAATGTTAACACAACAATCCGACACATCGCGTCGCGTGTTACCGAACTTCGGGGGAGTAAAATTAGGGTGGAAGTGAGGTTCGTTGATGTAACGTTAGTTGTCTCGGGTCCTAGCACCTCCCTGGCCTGTTGTTTTACGCTTGGTCGACCTAAACTTAGTCAATACAATGGCGTAACACTCCTATAATACGTCAGCTAGCGACGAATCGTTAGTAACCGTTAATGGATAAAGAGAAGCCGTTTAACGATGCAGCCCGGACCTGCAGATTGTTGCAGTGACATGACTCGAAAACGGGGATTTTAGGATTAACGGGCTGTTGTTGTTTTTGTTGTTTTGGGGGCATGTGAGGTGAAGAACTAACTTATTACGCCAACCCGGTTGTGGTAATTGTCGAAGAGGGATGCGTTTAAAATATCAGGTTACACTGTTTCACCAGATCCCTTGTCAGGGTGTTCACACTGCACGCCACTACTTTTTCATCTGCGTGTGCGTGCGTGTGTGTGTGTGTGTGTGTGTGTTCCACGGGTGGGAGGTGTTTTATTTGAAATCCTCAGGGCGTTGATGTGACAGTTGTGTTCAACAACAGCAGTGGAGCAACTTTTCTTTTTCTGATCAATGTTAACGGTGATAAATACATTTTTGAGGACAGCTTGTATTACTTTTGACAGTCTGGTTTAAACCTGCAAAAATAAACACATTAAGTATCACTGTAGGTACAGCTATTTATATGACTAAACGTGCTTTCATTTCAGTCAGAATTTGGCTGTAATATTGTATGGATTATCTAAATAGCATTTAGATTTATGCCTAGGTTTTCCCCACTGACAATGTCATTGTATTTCTTTGCAGGGGCATCCAATAGCCGAGGGGACGAAGAGACAAAAAGCACAAATGCATCGGACTACATAGCATCACTGCTGCACATGGCTTTGTTTAAGAGATGCAAAATGGCAAAGGAGGTCTATCTGCAGAGAGTTTGGCGGTTGGAGAGGTCTCTACACCCAGACCCGGCCAACTGCGGTGACAGCTCGATGACACGCAGGGGGGTTCTTTTTGGATTGAGTTGATTTTTATCCCTATATTGAAGCAAAGACTGAAGCCAGAGGACCCATCAGAACCTGGTGACTCGCCTGTTTTTGAGCTGAAGTCCTTGTAAAGGCGAAGGTTGGACATCATTTTGTAAACCGCTTTTTTTTTTCTTTTCTTGAACCTGCTACTAGTTTAAAAGTGAATTTGTTTTTGCCCTGCAAACGTAGTTTGAAACGCTAGAACTGTCCCTTCTGCCGCCTTCCCCCGTTCCTGCGACCTACCCAGTGCCTAAATAACAGTCACACAAGTCCTCAGCAGCTGCTGCGCTCAGTCCTCTGCCTGTTTTCCTCTATGTGCTTCTGCTCTCGGCCTGCCGGCGATCCACACTACCTCTTTACTTTTCTGGTCTTTTTGTTTTTATATACATCTCTTCTGATAGGCATATTCAGAACTAGAGCCCAACACAGTGGAGAGAAAGCCAGATTCCTCCACTTTTAGTCGTGTGCGAGCATCTGTGCTTTTGTGTTCAAGCAGACGGGCGTTGCACTGGTTTTAGATTTATTTATATTGTTGAACCAAATACAGTTACAATAAAGCCATACAAATATAATTACCGATACACCTATTTTTGTATTGCCGCGCTCTGTTAAAGTCTTGCTTTTATAAACCTCTAAGTGTATGCACAGAACTTAAATAACATCACAACCAGTTGTACACATGCAACAGTAAAGCTGCATACGCCTATATACAACAACTCTGATTTTAAGGGATTCTACTGGTGCCAGGAGACATTGAGTGTCTGGACACAGAGAAACCCTCATGTTTCCATACAGCTGCTGCTTTGCATAGTATTTTCTTTTTCTCATCTGTTGTCATGGCGCCTCCTCTCAAAGAAACCCCACATTTGCTATTTTGACCTGAGAGCGCCTGTTCACAGTAGGTAGCCCGTAGATACCCGCGTCTCTTTCTTCCTCCCCTCTCCTCTCTTTCCGTCTCTAATGCCGGGCTTCAGCAGTGGGGGGGTTGGCGGAGGAGTGGGTGTCCCTGCTTCTGCTCCTCCCCGTCCATTCCGCCCCAGCCGATATGTCCCGGTGTCTGCGGCCACCACTTTTCTCGTCGGATCCACCAGCCTCTTCTTCTGCTTCACGTGAGTATCTCGTTCTTCATCGCGCTCATATTCAAACTCGCACACGACGCAAACATGTTGCAAAGGGCAAAAGATGCACACGCTGCCAAAGTAATGGCTTTTGCATGAAGTTGTGTGTGCGCCAAAGACACGTGTAAACATTTTCTTGAGATTCTTTTAAATTTTTAAACTTTTTATACAGCAAGTTTGTGCTGAGAAAGCCTGTCCTCTTATCAGCATAACCTGTATTATCTCTGTTCCTCCAAATCATACCTATGAGCTGTAAAATTACATTTACAGTCTTCTGTTTCTGGCCTATAAGCGGCTTCAATGGAGCAGTTGAGGGATAAATTGCCTTGCTCAAGACTTGTCATTAGTTGTGGATGCAGTGAAGAGTGTATCTTATTCCCATCATAGGGATTCAAGCTACATCTACATGCTGCTGAGAATAGACCAAGAATACGTGTTGCACACTCACGTATTTTGGGAATAATGTGGGTATTTCGACTCCTCCCCTTTTCATGCTTCACAGGTGTCCATGGTTGTCGGAGTATTTCTCCTGTGTCATTCCCATCTACGTTGCGGTGATCTTCCTCTTCACCCTCGCCAACTTCTCTATGGCCACATTCATGGACCCCGGAGTCTTCCCCAGAGGTAAGCACACGTGAACAGGGTGTTTGTCCGTTGGTTATGACGTACTAACATGACTGTCACAGTACATGACGGATGAACTATGAATGAAAAGAAGTGTGTGTGTGTGTGTGCCGTCTTCAGCGGAGGAGGATGAAGACAAAGAAGACGATTTCCGCGCTCCGCTCTACAAAACGGTGGAGATCAAAGGGATCCAAGTGCGCATGAAGTGGTGCGCAACCTGCCGCTTCTACCGTCCTCCGCGCTGCTCGCACTGCTCGGTCTGTGACAACTGTGTGGAGGTACACGCGCACACTCGAGGGGCGAGATCTAATTAGAAATTGATATATTTCACCGCTTCATACAGAATGAGTTCTACAGGGACAATGGGGGTGGAAGCAGGGTAACGGTTTGTGATTGACGTGGCTCCTTTAACATCTTTTTGGTAGTATATTTGTCACATACTGATTAAATGATAGTTATACTTTTGCAACCCATCGTGGTTTTCAAAGTTGTGAGAACATGTATTTGTGATGCATCGTTCAGTTTTTAAAAGCAAGTAATAATTTCATTGTGCACTTTATGAACCCCCCTCCCCCCCTCTGTCATATTCGTACATTGTTGACCTTTGTGCTCTCTCAGGACTTTGACCACCACTGTCCTTGGGTGAACAACTGCATTGGTCGGAGGAATTATCGCCATTTCTTCCTCTTCTTGCTGTCGCTTACCACCCACATCATGAATGTATTTGGCTTTGGTTTGGTTTATGTGCTGCACCACCGGCAGCAGCTGGACACGCCGCACGCTGTGGTTACGTATCCTTCACTTGGCCTCTGCAGCCATCAAGCGGCAGAACCAATTGTGAAATGTTCTTTTCACATTTAGTTTGCGTTCCGAGCCTGATTATTCGTGTAGTTTTTCTACGCTGTGTTTGTTGGCACCTCCTTGACCCTCTCCTCTCAGTATGGTAGTGATGTGTGTCGCCGGCCTGTTTTTCTTCCCAGTGGCCGGTCTCACTGGGTTCCACATGGTGTTGGTGGCGCGCGGTAGGACCACCAATGAACAGGTACGCGTGTGAGAGCTGTGCTGTCTCAACTAATCCAGTTGAGACCTTATCTTATCACTAATGATGGTGGACGTGTGAGCTGGAACGTGTGCCCCTCTTCCTCTCTCGTTGTAGGTGACAGGGAAGTTTCGGGGAGGTGTTAACCCTTTCACCAACGGCTGCACGAGGAATATTTCTCATGTGCTATGCAGCTCCCAGGCGCCCAGGTCAGCCTTCATCCCCCATCTGCACTCACCTGTTGCTCCCCTTGTTTAGCATTCTGTCTCTTTCTCCCTCGCTCTCTAACTCTGTCCGTGTCTCCCTCGTGTGTCACTTTAATGAAGATTGACGTATGTGTGTGTGAATGTCCGCCCCACAGATACGTCGGCCGGTCCCGGAGCCCGCAGGCCCTGGATGTGCAGCCACCATTTCTCAGACCGCCCCTGACTGAGGCGCAGCTAGAAGCCAAGGTCCTGGACAATGGCATTCAGAATGACCGACACAGCACCAGGGTGAGGCATTCAGAAATATTGTGAATATGTGTAGGATCAAAAGCTCTGGACTCGAAGGAAACCAAAGAATCCCACACACTTCATCAACTTGTTTTATTCTGCAAAACTTTATCTGGCAAAATTCAAGAAGATAAAACTGCAACAAAAAAAAAAGCACAATACGTGGGTGTTTTCATATTTAAACGCTAAACTAGAAGACTGTGGCCATGCAGCTGAGGTGTTGGAGCTGCTGCTGCTACCATAGATACCTGTGGTACCCTGTGCTTGTTAGAACTCTACAATCCTTTTACTACTATGAACAAAATCACTTATTTGGAACCTACCAGTTCCATCTCACCTCAGGTGAAAAAAAAACAAAACCTTGGTCGTTCCTCACCATTCCTTTCAAATGCTTTTTACATTTTGAATCGTAAAACAGAGTTAGAAATGAAGTGGTTCTAAAAAAGAATCTTACACAACAGAAAAAAAAATACTAAAAAAGGTGGTTAATGGTTGAAATGTGCTGGCATTAAGAAGGAAACTTATCCTCTATATTAGCAAATTTCTTTGTTAAAAACAACTGAAAAAATGTTTTTATGCTGCTTATGTATACTGCTTATGAGGTATATAGTATGACCTCATCTGGATAATGAAGTACATGTGTTGGAGGGTGTTTGGACTAAAAATAGTTACATCAGTGGGTCTGAACTCTTCTCAGATGCCAAAACCTTGAATGTTTTATAAAACGGGGCGTTGCACCTTAATAGTTACTCCGTTACAACGAAAACAAGGTTTAGGATGAAAGTAGAACACTCCTGTTGCAAAATAATGTACCTGCCATTTGCAGCCAACACTGAGTTAAACCTCTACTGGACTGTGTAACTGTGTGTTCTAATCATGTTTTTTTATTTTATTTACTTGTTAATTCAGGGCTATTGTGAGTGTGACCAAGACCTGATAATGTACGTCTCTGTGTGTCCTCTTCAGTCCAAGAGTAGTCTAGATCCAACAGAGAGCCAGTCAGCGGATGCAGAGCCTCCACCTCCTCCAAAGCCAGAGCTCCGGTACCCGGGCCTCCCCCGCGCAGACACGGAGGGTGAGACAAGCGCACTCGCGCACAACACACACACGCGTACACACACACACACACGCGTACACACACGTGAACCTTGTGCAGTGACTGACTCGTCTACATCTCTAGTTTTGGCCGTCAAGTGCAGCGCAGGTACTCTGAGCGTGTTACCTGAGCCGCTTGGCATCACAAGCCACACCTCAAAATGCTTCTTTTGCTTTGTTGTCACTCAGAGAGCAGCTTGTTGACCGAAGGTCCGACCACGCCGTCGATGTACAAGTACCGACCAGCGTTCAGCAGCCCAGGAAGGAACCACACTGCCCTCACGCACCCCAGCAAGGTACATGTCAATGTCCAAAGCATCCGGTATCGTTACATAGGGAATGTTAAACACAGGATCAGCGTAGAGGGAAGTTAACCACACGTCTTTGCCTGACTGGACACACCGATGCCTGCAATGATGGAGTTAATCTAAATATGTTTGTTCAATTAGAAAGACTTCGTAGACTTTGACATGGCGAGCTTATTTTAGCATTATTAAATCATACAAGCAATATTTGATATCTGTAACTAATGATCTGGTGGCTGGTGCGACCTCATGCTTCTAATTTATTTTGTGGTTAATACCATGCCCCTCTTTTTTTTTTTTACTTTGAAATGATCATTCAGTGGCCATCGGTCGATCAGTAAGTCTCAGCTGGTGTCACCTGTTTGTGTCCCTTTGGTTGTCTCTGTGTGTTTGAGTGGATCTATCCTTTTCCCCCCGAGACGGCATTGACTGGAATGTGTAGTTCATGTATGTATTTGTAAATCCATTCATGTGTTGGTACACACAGTCTTTGACATGCAGTGTCAGTGCTTGTTCAAGCCAGTCAATGTTTCCAGTCCAGTAGTGTGATGACGGAGTAGAGCACCGGTCAAGCATCCAATTTCTCCCCCACTTTTTCTGTTTTGATATGTAGTAAAGCGGTTATTCTGCGTGTTATGTCATCCATTCCTCAAGTAACACTGTGATTATCATCTTTCTCCCTACCCCCTCCCTCTCTACCCCCGCCCGCCCCACCGTCATCATATTCCGCCTCCTTCTGTTTGATCTCCTTCTCTCAGATGATCCGTGGGGACAGTCTGGACTCTCCATCTCCCTCCATCCTCCAGTCGAGCCGGCAGCCCAGCTACCGCTCGGAGCCCAGCAGCTTGGACGGGACCACGGTGGTGGGGGGAGGTGTAGGGGCGCGCAGAGGGGGAGGCGACAGAGGCGAGGGCCCCGGAGGCCCGGGCGGCGCTGCCGGGGTGATACCCGGGGGCATGTCCGGCTACTCCCTGGCTGGGCGCTCCCACACCTCCTACCCGTCGTCCCTGGTTCTGTCCACTGGCGGCTCTCACTCGTCCAGCCTGCGCTCGGCGCTGGCGGCCAACAACCCGCTGTCCACCCTCCAATCCGAGGGGACCACGGACACCAGCTACAAGAGCCTGGCCAATCAGACGCCTCGGAACGGCAGCCTGTCCTACGACAGCCTTCTCACGCCGTCCGAGAGCCCCGAGTTTGAGTCTGCTGCCCACGAGCTGTCGCCGCAGAAGCCCCGGGCTGTGTTCCCCTCGGCGGGTGCGGCGGGGCAGCGGGAGGGGGTGTCGCCCGGCAGCCCGCTGCAGGGCTACACGTCGCCCTTCCTCTCGGCTCAGATCGCACAGCAGAGGGAGGGGCAGCTGCTCCAGGGCTCCGCCACTTTCTCCTCCCCCCACAGGGCCTACCTGCGTGCCGTCAGCCCGCCCCCTCCCTCCGCCTCTGGTGCCCCGGAGATCCAGCACCTGCTGCAGGCTAACCACAACTCCTCCTCCCGAGGACCCCGTAACCTGTCCTCCTCCCCTGGGGGTCGCTCACTAGAGCCCCCTGTCTCCCCGCCGCCTCGCGGCCTCTCCCTCGGCAAGTCGCAGTATCATGTTGGGGAGGCGGGACCTCAGCACAGGCCCCCGAGGGCTTCAGGAGGAGGCCTTGTGGTGGGAGGGGGAGGAGCCGGAGGAGGGCAACAGGCTGCACAGTGAGTAGTGATCCATCGCCAGATCCGCCCGCCTGCTTCTCCTCCTCCTTCCATTTCCTCCTAATTCTCTTCTTCTTCCTCCCTGGTTTGTGTCAGCCCTCCTCTTCCTCCCTGATCTGTGTGAGTTTTCCTTTTCCTTCTCCACGGTTTAGTCAGTTTTTGCCTGTTTAGCGTTCATCAGTTGGAAGTGTGCACTGTGTGGAGAAGTGTGTGTTTTAGCTCTGTGAAAGCATGCCTGACCACGGTGCTGTTTACTTCTGTCCTCTCGTCTGTTTTTTTCTTACTTGCAGTATAGTTACCAAAATGCCTTAAAGGTTTGATGGTAGAGAAACATTAGTGCTTTTTTGCTGTAATTATTTGACGTAAAACCACCCACCTTCACATCAATTTGTCCTCTGTCCTCACTCCTAATCTGCCCCCCCTTCCCTTACCCCCTCCCTAATAACTGTCCAATCAGATACCCCTCTCGTCCAGTCTTGGCCAATCACACACCAACCAAATCAGGGGGCGGAGTGAAGAAGGTGACCGGCGTTGGAGGGACCACTTACGAGATATCGGTTTGAGAGACGGACAAGCTTCACGTCCCTTCACAAAGTGGGGGCTGAAAGGCCCCGGGACTACTTTCTCTTACCGGAGTTGGACATTATTTACGACTTCAGGCTCCTAAAAGTGACTCTTTTCCAGGGCAAAGGACTAAAGGAGCCGGCCAGTCTGGTACTCACTTTGTTATATTTGTAACGCCACCGGCAGATTTGAACAAAAGGGGACACTTTGTTTTTCTCCGGGTCAAGTCGTCCCCATTTAGCCACTTTGTGAGCCGTAGACGGACGCGGCCGTATTGTCACGGCTGGCTACAGAGATGTCTGAAGAACACTCGGGGCGATTCAATGATTTTGATTTGGTACGTTAGCACACAGAGCATCGCCCACCGTGGAGAGGATGGCCTTCATCCATTAGATGGATTTAAGACTATAGACCAATAGAAACGTCTGCTCCGATGTATGAACGGATCACGCAATCGGTTCGGTGAGTCCAACCTATAAACACAGTATCCTTTTAGTTTTCTAAACCTTTTTTTTAATTTTTTTTATATAAATGTAGATCATCTTACAGATCATTATTGGGTCAACTTGTCAGGTATTGAAGATGACTTTGGACGAGAGTGACGGTTTTTCTGTGCGTAATTATTCATAAAAGCGATCACTAATCAGTGGCCTGTTCTTATTTTAATGGCTGCATCAGCCGTTCACAAGCTCTTGCTGGAATTTTCATCGTCCAAAGAGAAAGCTGATCGCTTGGTGCACAGCCGAGGTGGTAAATAATGGAGCTGGATTATATGAAAGCCACAAAGAAATTCTGAATCACGTTTGCAGCACAAGTATCTTTGTGGAATGTACGCTTGTAATCTTTTATGCTAGAGACATTATGCAAAATCTGTTTAGTAGCTTTAAGATCATTGTATGTATCTTGTGTTTTTTTATTTTTCTTCTTTCTGTCAATCAGGATGCGAGTAGAATCTGAAACCTTTTAACAGGTGACCAGCCAAAAAGGGGCAGTGAGGGAAGGGCTTATTTATTTTAAAAGACAACCTTGTAGTTTTGGGCACAATTTCAAACCAGTCTACCATGTTGTCCCTTTTTTGAGAAAAGAAAAGTATGAATATTTTTTATGACAAAGAATTTATAAATGAAATTGTAAATGCTCTATGCCACTAAATAGAGTTTCGGGGAGGGACTGGTTTGCATTTGGAGACTTTCATTTTTTTGTTTTTATCTGCCTTCGGACCCTTCATAGTGAAGCATGCACATTTATACCTTTTTTCCTATTTGTTTTGTATTTTTTACACTTGAGTGAAAAAAATGTAAGGCAGATTAGTTTTTTTTATTGGCTTTTAAAACTTCCGTAAACAGCCACGTAAAGAGCGGAAGAATTGGAAGTCAGGTGTGTTTGGGAGCTTCAGGATCAGGCATAACAGTTAAGGTTTATTTATTTTCTTCTTAAGGCCTCCAGCGGTGTTTAGCAGTAGAATGTCAGCGCTGTGCGTCCTTCTGGGGGGGGAAATCACTCGCTTGAAGCACAGAAGTACCATCGTTCAACCCAAAGAAAGGACGTGCTACTAGTCTGCAACCCTCCCAGCTACGTCTTTGGTGTGCATGTGGTTTTTGTTTGTCGTGCTGAATGCTTCACTGGTGTGCAAACATATTGTCAAAATCCCACCTGGGTGACGTGTGTGTGGTTAAAAGAAGCATTAATGGAACAGGGGTACAAACTTGCGATACCTTTTTTTTCCTGCCCTTGATGGTGACCACTGAACAATTTGAAACTGAGTATACTTGAGTATATGTGAGATACAAAATATTGCTATTGTGGGCTGTGATGAATGGAACGAGTGTCACAAATATCTGTATTGAGTACATTAAAGACATTTCCCCAAATGGCCTTAAGAATTTTTCAAAGAGATGTCTTCTCAGAATAAAAATGTCAAACTGTTGAACGTAACGCCTCACAAATTATAACTGGACACAATCTTTTTATTTCAGCTTCACCTTTTGGTTTGTTTTAGTAAACAGCAGGTACCAGCAAACCGGCGAGTTGCAGAAAGTCAAAAAAACGAGCATTACAAAAAGAAAAGGCATTAGTTGTCATAACTTAGTAAAATGTACCAAACGCACTGCTCGTCTGGTGCTGCATTCGGACCATGCTGCATCAAACTCAGTCACAGCAGCAAGCGGGCTCCAGCTTCCTGCTTAATCATTTGCAAGTCCTGCAGCTCCTCCTCACTGGTCCTTCTTGCTCTCCGTGGGCGGCTGGACATCGGCGGTTTCAGGGAGCAGCATGTTGCTGACCTCTTTCGGCTGAACGTCGCTCTGCTCCTCTTCTTTCAAATCGCGGCTTTTGTTCAGCTTCTTCGATTTTTGGAAGAGTTCGTTGAGATTAAACTCTCGGATGATGTTCTCCTACGAAAGAAGTAAACTTCCAGTCAGGACACGTCCTGGTGGATGTGACAGATCTCACTCACTGTGGAACTTACCTCACTGAAGGTCCAGGACACCGCTCTGCCTTTCTTGTCCACCATCGGACGTCGTATCATTTCCCGTCCTTCTTGGAAAAGCACCAGTGTGGGCAGCTGCTTGGAAAGTGGAGAAGTGCTGACCTTGTACCTGTTGGAGGAATAGTCCGTTGGGACGGGTCACATCCTGTGCTCAGAGAAGCTGTCCAGTTTTTGAAAGCGTGAATACGTTAGAAATCGGACCTGTTTGAAACCTCTCCGTAGCGCCCGATGTCCACTTTCCCAAACTTGAGTCCAGCACAGTTGTACCTACAGTACAACCGGAGAAGATGCATGAGACATGCGAATGCACAAAACATAAAATCAATGTACTTCAAGAGCAGGAGAAATGTAAACACGACTTTCATTTAACAACCCAATTTGGACTGTAAGGTTTGGAACATGGAAGTTATTGAAAAAATACTGTGGCAAAAGGCTCTTTTCTGCATTCAATTAGTAGAATGATTCATATCAAAGACCTTGATAATACAGAACATATAAAACTAATACAATTACATTGTAGCCTGCATATAATACTCATCAGATTCCAGTATGTGAGTCAAGGGTTTATTTTAAATCAATACATTTTACATGTTTAAATAGACATCACGGTTGCTTATTGACCGGTTTGACGGGTGATTCGTAGGTTTGTAGTTTAAATGTGTCTGGACCGCGGCTCAGTCAATCACAGCTCTTCACATTTTACCATCAGCGGCTGACCTGAATCAAACCGTTCCCCGGCAGCATCTTAAATTACACACGCGCGTTTAACGGTATCTTACTTGATCGAAAGGTCGGCAAAGACGGGGGCAAAGGACTGGCAGTCGGAGGCCCAGTTGGCATAGAATTCAACAATCCAGGATATACGGCTGTCCTTCTGCAGCTCCTCCTATTGACTCAATAAATGAGATCCCGACCGATTACACAGGTGTAGAGCTCCGTGTGTGTCTCACACACACACACACACACACACACACACACACACACACACACACACACACACACACACACACACACACACACACACACACACACACAAATCAAATTCTGACGTTCAATTAATAGATTATGTTGTATATTTGACAATTGGCCTCCTCGTTGGATGTAGAAACAAATACAAACAGCGCGATGAGAAGCTCGAGTTCTCTCTCGGGTAACAACGCTCACATCTATGGTCTTGTCGCTGAAGTACTTGATGTACTCGGGGCCCATGTAGAGAGGCGGCTTGCAGGTCATGACGCAGGCTGGAGACGAGGCACAGGTAAAGAGACACATCAGAGTCTAGTGGACGCAATGAACGTCCCAATAGGAGTTTGACATTTTTATGAAGCTATTAAGTTCAGTAAAGTAAAGATACTCTACCCCACAAGCATTGTGGTGACCTTAGTGGAAAATAAGGAAAATTGAAATACAAAGAGGAACAAAAATAGCAGGTGCCCCCGACGCTTAGCGGTGACGTTCTGGATATCAGAGTCATCCCACATGAAACAGGTAATGCTTTTAAGTAATAAATATCTACCAACAATCGAACAGAAACTGGAGGGACGTATACTGATCCAAGTCTATGTGCACTTTTAAATTTGGGTGGTTTCCACGCACTGTTTTAATGTGAAACAAAGACCACATCATTTCACAGGTGAACAGGTCAAAAATATGAAATATTTCCCGCTGACTACTATAAGCCTCCCGTGAATGTCCCCTCCTTTGACTCAAAGTGCACCGAGAGCGGGACAGCATTTGTGCACGTGGTCACACGGCCACTGACCGACGCACAGCGCCAGGTAGACGATGCCCAGCCGGATGTCCAGCCGGAAGAAGAGGATGACGTTGGCCACTTTGCTGAACAGGAACACGTTGCCTATGTGCTGCTCCAGTGTGACTGAGAGAGAGAGAGAGAGAGAGAGAGAGGGGGGGGGGGGGGGGGGGGGGGGGGGGGGGCATTAGAAGGAGAGACGTTGAATGCGGCTGCAGAGTGTCCTTCACCGCTTGGGTAAAGGTCACAAGGCGCCGCTGCCGCTGTTTACACAACAAAGCAGCGTTTTCTGCAAAGCACTTCCTCAATGTGGCTGCAGGGCTCCTCGGGACATGAAACAGTTACATATTAAGTCACAAGTACTCGTTTGGTTGAACATTAACACGACACACACATTATAGGACAGTGTCCGTCCTCGCTGTTCAACAGGGTCCCATGTGTGGGTCTACTTTGGCTTACGGATGAGGTTCAGTCAGGAGATTACGCCTTTCGTATGAATCAGTATCTCACATACGCGTGGGTCTTATTTAGCCAAAAAGCTTATTTAAAAAGAAAGTGACGTTTTTACCAAATCTAACCAAGTAGACTGTAGGGGGATGGGTGACTTTTTCCCACGTGGGATGTTTATCCTGGTGGTCCCCTGTTCTGTGACGACTGTTTACTGTAAACCAACCCTGGTTTACACACACATAGTGTGTGTGTGTGTGTGTGTGTGGGGGGGGGGGGGGTACTTACTCGCTCTCCTGTTCTTCATCATAACTATTGCACAAAGAAACATGAGAATCTCCGTCTCTCTCTGTAAGAAAAAACAGAAAGAAAGGACATTTTAAAAAAAGGCACAACGCATGCAACCAACCCTGCGACAGGTGGAGTGAACCGCAGAGCTCCACCATGTTTCCCCCCCGCCTCGCTCACCCAGTCGAAGTCGCAGGAGTTGCCGTCCTCCCGCTGGGTCGCCAGGTGCTCGCACACGCCGGGAGCCTTTCGGACCGCCAGGAAGGCGACGGTCATGAGCAGCGAGGAGACGTAGTACGGCTTCAGGAGCCATTTGTAAATCTGAGGCAAGTGGTAGAGAAAAGTACAGAGTCCTGTGATAAGAACCATGGCGGCGGAGGAGGAGGCGACGTCGCTTCACCTCAAGGGGTTTGAGGAGGAATGACAGCTGGGAAAGAAACCTGACGTTCGCCGGGGGCCAACCGGCTCAAACTGCGCATGCGCGAAAGGGAAACGCGACTCGGTGGTTTTGTGGGTGAGGGGACTCGCCGTAGTTTTGGCGGGCGTTGAAAAGCGTAAACAGAGGCGGTAAAAAGAAAAAAACATGGAGGAGAGCGAAGCGGCGACGCCGAAGGAGGCTTTGGGTCGCGATGGCGGTGAAAAGTCAGCGGTGAACCGAATTAATGAAGCCACGGGAGAAGCTTCCTCACAGATGCCCGTGTCCGATTGTAAGCGTCCCGATGAGGCAGAAGGTCGCTTCAAGAGGCGGAAGTTGTTCGACAAAGTGATGCAGAAGAGCCTGGAGAAGTTCATCGATCACGCCAGGTAACGGCTCACCCCCCAGTTTGTGCTGGGACTGACCATTCATCTAAGAGGCGTAGGTCGATGGTGACATGGAGAGCTGCAGAAGCTGCCTGTGACCGACTCGAGGACGGGAAGCGCACGTGACGTAAACAACGTGTTTGGTTTAGTTATCTCCATCAATGTTATATTATAGGTCATGTTCCTAGAGACCACGGTGACGCCTTTCAAGTTGCTCTTTTACGTCTAAACAGGGACTTGATAGTATTTTCTCTTGGTAAATGATTTAACTACTAGTACTCAATAATTCAAATTGTTGTCAGTTAATTTTCTTATTTCTTATAGATTATTTCAGTAGTACATTGGTCGAGCTAAAAAATAGCTGGGGGTTTGGGAAAAGACTCACCTTGTTTCACTCTTCCTTGTCACTGCCTCCGCTCACAGTTTTAATAGATTTGCCAGCACGTTCCGGCCGCTGTACAAGAAGAACCGGCAGAGGATGGAGAGCATTCACAAGCAGTTCATCGAGGAGCTGCAGAGGAACATACAGGTACGCAGCACACAGTGCACTAATACCATTCACAACTGAATAAAAACATGCAGGGTCTTATGCCTGGTTTGTGTTGCGTGTGTGTACTTTTCTAGCTGCCTTGGCTTTTTATTTGCTTACACCAATGCAAGTGTTTGTGTATTTGAAGGAGGACATCAGCAGATTGATCAAAGAAGGTCGGTTAGACATCAAACTGAATGAGCTGGACCAACTTGAGGCCGCTGCAAAGAACAATGCAGAGCCTGCATGGTCCGTAAGCAGCACGAAAACCACGTTACCTTCCACCACCTTTTGCTTGCCTTTCCAATGAAATAACTCAACTGGATACACGTCGAGCTCTTTAGTGTCCCAACTGTAATATTTTCATTTTGCAATGTTTTGATAGGCGGCCGAGCGGAGTTCCTGAGCAGGACTTTTGTAGCTTTTTGATGCCGTACTACAAAAAGCAGGAGAACTACATGCGGCAAGAGCTGAAAAAGATTCAAGCAGAGAATGCTGCCCTGTCACAGAAGGCTCAGGCTGGGAGAGAAAGTCTCGCTCAGACTGAACAGCGTATTTCTACCACTGTTGACGAGTGGAAGGTGCGAGAGAAACTAATTCATGTTTAACTAAAAATACGTAGCTTATTTTTCACACTCCCAAAGGTTAAGTTTTTGTAAGTATGCTTGAGTCTTTAATCTATAATGTATTTGTGACATTGGCAAAATGACTACACAATTGAACAGTATTTATCAAAATCTACATTGGACTTTTTAAAATGTTTTTAGTAATCCTAATGTATTTACACAGGGCAATGATAATGCACAAACTATGTCCGTGCATCATGATAAAGATGTATAAAATACCAGTTTGTCATGACCGTTTTTTAACAGCTTTATTTGTATTCTTTGCTGTTTCCTTTTTAGGCATCGACCACTGAGTTAGAAAGGATGGCATCTTCTCTTCACCCTGCCGACGTCTTTGATGTGTGATGTCTGCAAACTGTTCCTCCTGCATATATATTAAATAACTTAACAGTACATTTAAAATGTGTTCACTCTGCCTGTGTATAAAAATAAACGTGAATCTTAAATGTCTTGTATCCGCGTGGGCTTCCATATATCAGTCATTACGGTAGTGTGTGTGTGTGTGTGTGTGTGTTTCTACCCGGTATTACGGTACACGGGCCGTGGAGAAAATGCCACAAAGAAGTGCGGAGTCGAGTCGTTCGTTCTTGGATGGAATCGGGCTGAAAACTCCGTCAGAAACCAGACAACACGCTTGACGAAACGCTAACTTTTTCCGTTCTGTTTAAATGTATTATTTGCGACGGATATGACGGAAATGTTTTCAACTCTGTTCGGGCAAAACGAAGCTCAGGGACCCGGCTCGTCGTCTCTGGGTTTCGGACCGGGGAAGCCGCCGCCGCCCCTCCCTCAAAATCAGGTCTCCATGGCGGGGCAGATGCCACCACAGCTCGGGGATGAAGGGCCTACTCTGCGGAAGCCCGGAGCCATGAATGAACCGTTCTACTTGCTGCGGGAGCTTCCTGGTACTGTCTGGATATTGTTAACTCTTTTATGCTTTGTATGTTATTTTACCTGTTATTCACAGAAAGTGTTGAGCTGCTGTCAAAGGTTGTTAGCAGTTTGTAAACAATGCAAGCTAACGTTAGCTAGTTAAGATGAGTGTTACCAAAAACACCCTTTTAAAGCCAATTTTTTTTCATACGTTTAGTTTTAATTGTTATTCCTCATTGTGTGACACAAAAATGTCCACCTGTTCCTAACAGCTATTGTGTCCTGAAGTTTGACTTAACGTAACAGTGGTTTGATATTTTTTGAGTGCTGTCTAGTTTTGGAGATGCATAACAAATGACATCATTTCTGGTGTTTCCACGATAAAACTATAATTTAACGTCATGTAATAATTTGCGTTGTTTGTTTAGTGGGAAACGAGTTAACGGGCAACAGCAACCTCATCACGCACTACAACCTGGAGCACGCGTTCAACAAATTCTGTGGGAAGAAGGTGAAGGAGAAGCTCAGCAACTTTCTGCCAGAGTTACCAGGTGGGTTGTGTGCAGGAATTAAACGCCGCTATAGTCTTGATGGCTGTTGTTTCTCCAAATCTGGTTTATGGACGGATGTGTGTTCCCAACCTCAATCTCTCAGTTTTAAATTTTGATCTGCAGGTATGATCGACTGTCCGGGCACCCAGGACGGCAGCTCGTTGCGCTCTCTGATTGATAAGCCTCCAGTTTGTGGGAACTCCTTCAGCCCATTGACCGGCGCTCTGCTCACAGGCTTCAGGCTACACACCGGACCGGTGCGTACTGAATATATATACATAGATGGAGTAACCCTATAAATCTATCTATATATAAATTATATCTATTATTATATATAAGTCAGCATATTCTTGCCTGCTGGTGTCGATCATTTAATAATAAAATTGTTCAATATTTCTATGCTTGCATGTGTTTGTTTTTCTCAGCTGCCAGAACAGTACAGACTGATGCACATACAGCCCCCAAAGAAGAAGAGCAAACACAAGCACAAACACCATCGACTACAGGACCCTTTACCACAAGGTATGACACGCCACGCGGTTGCACTCGCACAAAATACTGAAGCACGTTTTCAGGCTTCTGAGCTGCTCCTTTTTTGTCGTGACAGAAACCCCATCAGACACGGATCCCAAGAAGAAGAAGAAGAAAAGGGACGACGATCCTGACCGCAAGAAAAAGAAGAAAGACAAGAAAAAGAAAAAGGTACGAAAATCGTTCATGCCACCAATGGTTTGTAAAATGGTGTGTTTGGTATGTATATGAATTATGGTTTCATACTTTAATCGTAAAACTTGTACCTAACACAAACCATTTCCATAATATACTGAGAGACTTTGTTTTAATAATGTGGTAATTTAATTTGAAGCTGCATTAAAGGAGCAGTTTACTTCCAAAATAAATCTTCTCTTGCCTGTAGTGCTATTCGTCAAGCTTAAACTAGATTGTTTTGCTGGGAGTTGCTATTGTCGGAGATGCCCACCTTACACGTTTCTATAGATATCTGCTTGTTGTGCTCAAAGCATCAAAAGATTTGTTTTGAAAACGCAAAAGCAATGACCTGATTGCTCGAGGTAATCCATTTTTTTATGAGCGCTTTCATGTAGGAACTGTTTTCCTCCACTAGAGTGCGTAAGAGCTTCAAAGTGATCTGGCAGACGACAGCGCTGATTGATTATTGCGTTTATTTATTTGTATTATTTGCAAGCAGTTTCCAACCCTCCCGTGAAGCTTTATCACATGTGTTACAACGCCCTGTTGGGTCATACCCCCCAATTGAAACCTGTAAATCCTCACCAACTCCCTCCAAATGCTTATAGAAAGATCCATTGTTCCCCTCGGTAATAAACACACGACAGACTGTCAACAGTGAACCAACAATTTGTAAAAAAGTAGGAATTTCTCCGGAGGTAAAAATAACGTTTTTTTTCCCCCCCCCCCCCCAGAACCGCCACAGTCCCGCCCACCCCGGCCTCGCTGGATCACAAACCAACAGCCACAGCCTCAGATAGGCAGCAGCCAAGTGTGAGCATTGTGCTGTTTGAACGTGTGTGTGTGTGTGTGTGTGTGTGTGTGTGTGTGTGTGTGTGTGTGTGTGTGTGTGTGTGTGTGTGTGTGTGTGTGTGTGTGTGTGTGTGTGTGTGTGTGTGTGTGTGTGTGTTTGTTTTACAGATAATTGCATTATTGAGAGTTTGTTTTAAACAGAGTAGAGGTAATGCAAATGGTTGTATGATGATTGGTGAAAGGAGCAGCGACACAGTGGACGTGCGTGATGATGCAAAGAGATGTTACAGAGCAGTGTAAAGGGAGGAAAGCCACTGATGAGCTGGGTTGTGTTATGGATGACTGAGCAGGTACCGTGTGTGTGCGTGTGTGTGTGTGTGTGTGTGTGTGTGTTCTCCGCTTTGATTTTGTTGTGGTATCTTGTGACCATATTGACTAAATCAAATAAACTTTTGGTTATTCTATGCTTGTGTCTCCTTTATAAGGATCAGGTACAGTGAGATGGTTTAAAATGCAGCAGCAAAGTGACAACAATGACCAACATGGCTGATGCTGATGTATATTCTTTATTGTGAGGACATATTTTTGCAATAGTGGCAAAAATAAAAAACACAAGTCAAGTCACGAAATGTCAATAGCCACTTATTTATAAAATGCACATGCTGGATATATTGGTTCAAGGCGTTTATTGAGCTCATACCAACACTTCGACCCCAAGGTAAAGCAACAGAATTAGACAAGCCACTGGATTGGATGCTCTTAAGATACTGACAAAACAAAGGATGTTTGCTTTTTGTTGTTGTTGAGAATGTCGGAGGAGTTCATTAAACTTCAGGCTTTGAATCCCAATTTAAAAGGCAGAAGGAAGCCACAGGTCTCACAACAAGGAGCTTTTTGGTCAACTTGCCGAGATACAAAGAGTCACTTTTTTTTTGCCTGAATTGCTGGACTATTTGTATTCAAAACTTTAAAAAATACTGTAACTTTACTGCTTGACAAATGCATTTGGTTGTACGGTCCTAGTTTACAGTGCCTCCACATGGCTTTGATTTACAGAGAAAGAGGTTTGGCAGAGGCGTTATTCTTGCATCCATATATATATATATATATATATATATACACAGCATTAACACCAAGATGGTCTCTCTTGGCGAGAAGATTCTTGAAGCTGAAATTGCAGTCAAAGTAAAGCTGGAAAAAACTGACACAAAATAAATCATCTACTAAATCTGTCTTCACACTGACATAATTGGGTCAAAAAAATGAGATGGATTAAAATCTACAAGATACTGTTGCTGTGAGCAAAACAAACTTACAGGGTGGACACATTTTGAACTTTATCTGGCTGAAACACTTTAATATAACTTCAAGCATCTACGCAGAAAAACATTTAAAAACACACTGTAGTTCTATTTACCAAAAAAAAAAAGGAAATTGGATGGAGGTGTATTTGCTCCAAAATCAAAACATGACTAGAAAAGCAAAAAGGCGAAATGCAGAATATAATGTTAATCATCTGAGCTTCATTTAGAATTAACACACTACACAATAACTGACATTGAAACAAATGCTTCCCTTTTTAATGCTACTGCGGAGTATAAAAATACACTTAAATACACATTTATACACACACTAGTTCATTGATGTGCATAAAGCAGTACAAAGTGATTCACAACATCAACACACACTGTGTGTGTAAGTCAGTCTCATTTGGGAATTGTCCATTTAAAAGTGTTTCTCCTCCATATAAAACAATCCATAAATGCATCGGGCCGGCGCAGCGATACCCCCAAAGAGCATCAACACTCAAGGAGAACACGTGAGGATTTGACATTTCAGGTGTTTGATAATTAAAGGATTAACGGTGTAAAAAAACTTTGCCGAGAGACAATACGAAGTAGGAAACAGGAGGTAGATACGGTGTCTAACCTGCCTAACTGCGCGTGTGCATGTGTGTGAAAGAATGGACTCAAACGGGTCTTTGTACCTACCAGAAGTCTGGTGTTCAGATGCTGCAACATTTCTGTGATTGTTCTATCCTTTGTTTTATGTATTTTTAGTTTTTGTCCAAGGAATAGAAACGCTGTAGAAAAACTGTAACTTTCCTTTTTTTCAGCCGGTCTTTGGTCTTAGCGAAGACAGTGATGATTGTTTTAGAAATCTGTGAATACCATCTGACAGTGTTTCAAGTAGTCTGCTTCCCACGGCCCGACACTCAGCATCAGTATCAGGGTGTGTGCTCGTGAGTGAAATCTATGGCTTTAAATCACACTGATTCGGCTCTTTGACACTAACCAAAATAAATAAACGAATGATGACAACGGAAATCACAAAGGAACTTCAAAGTCCAACTCTGAGTCGTAACACCACGAGGAATCCTATTTGCTGGAAAATGTGCACCGGCAATGATGAAGAAAAACTGGAACCACTGGAATTATCTAAGCAAAAATCCCTCTCTGGATGCGTAGTTTGCTGGTGCTCATTTTCAACACAACCACAAATCCTTTGATCCCCCCCCCCCCCCCCCCAACCGTTGACTCTGAGTCGCTTCACGCCTCCACGGCAGCGACGCCGTTGCTGTGAGGTTTGTGGCCGTTGGTCGCGCCGTTGTTGAGGGCCAGCGTCTCCTGTTGGGCCGCCTTCTGGTCTCTGGCCTCCTTTTCCCTCAGCAGCTGCCTGCGGTGGTAGAACAGGTAACCCGGCAACAGGAAACCACCCAATGAGGAGAGGATCAGGCCCAGGTTGATCTGGAGGACAGAGAGAAACCTTTTTAATCATGTTGACTCTTGTCGGGTGCTGGGCTTTATTGTGTGTGTGGAGTAGGAAAAGAAAAGGGTGCGCGTCCTCACCCAGTAAGGGTCTCCGTTCAGCGACCCGACCATGACGACGAAGAGCAGCTGCTGCAGCAGAGCGATCACAGCGCTGACCATGGACTGCAGGCCCGTCAGGGTGCCAAAGTGGTTGGACGGGTATCTGTGAGAGACACACGACCCCAGATCTTTACTTTACAATTAACGGCAGCGTCATTTATGGGTAAAGTCGATCAGGTTGTGTTTTCAGTCAACGATGGCGGTGAATTGCCAGCACTCACACAGCAGCATAGAGGCCTCCGCAGCACGAGTGGATGAAGCCCCGGACCATAGTGTGGAGGATGAAGGTCAAGATCTGAGGGAGAGAAAAGCAACCAAAGGATCTTGTTATTTCCCTTTGGGGCGTGGCCGTGCCGCCCGTTTGTGCATTTGTGCGTGCGCGCTACCTGTAGCGGCAGGCTGTCGATGAGGCAGCAGCATCCGAAGGCGAGCAGCAGCACGTTGGTGAACGTGAAGGCCCTCATGGCGTTCGTCACTTTCTGGATCTTCCGGTCTCTTTTGGGTACAGCGGTTTGCCTGCAGAGACACAGAGGGGTTCCAGTGTTGGTCGGATGGTTACGACCCCCCCCCACACTACAACAATGCCGCCCAACATTTGTGTTGCGGACGTGTTTACTGCTTCGTGTACCTCTGCTCTGTGCCTGGTTGGCGGGGGGGCTTCTCCTCTTCACAATCCTTCATCTTCCAGTCCATGATGTATCCAATCAGAGGACACGTGGCCAGGCACAGCAGCTGCAGCGTGCCGAATATGGACGAGTAGAAACTCACTGGAGGAGAACACATCGGATCAGAAAAAGGTATAATGCAAGTTGGCTAAAAAAGAGAAACGTTAGTATTTACACTTGGAGCTGAAGTATTTTGCTACTCACCTTTCTCTTCTGCCTCAATCACCATCTGCTCGGATGCTGAAATGTAAAAATAAGAGCCACCCTGTCAGTAGCGTTTAGATCTTGACAACAGGGGGAAATGACGCTGCGCTTTGACACTCACGATGTTCTTCCCCGTGGGTGACCAAAAACTCCAGCATCTTGTTCATCGCCCCCATGAAGAAGATGATCCTCAACTGGGTCATCCCCATGGTGATCAGACTCCACAGGAAGATGGGAGAGAACACAGACCGTCGGAAGGGAGTCGCATCTGAGGGGGGAGGAGGAGACGGTTTGTTTCGTTCAGGGTGCCGTTACCCCACGTGCATTTACTTACATCTTACATACGAGAGGAGGTTATGGAGGGGGGTTTCTTTCCCATCAGAGTAAGTTTTAAGACACCCTGTTATACCCAAGTTATGTCGTACAATACAAATCCCACTAGGGGGAACCATTTTCCTTTCCTTTGGCCGCTTAGATGTGTCCTCTGAAGTAAAACAAAGCAGTCACAAGACGATGAACGTGATCCACAGCGAGTACATCTGTCAAACGAAAGTTTCCATCACATCTTTGCGCCCAATGACGCAGCGGGGCGAGCGCGCGGGTCGACTTACTGGGCACAGCGTCGGTTCCATTAGGAAGCTTCTCCGTCGAGTGTCGGACGTCTCCATTTTTCAGGCTCAGCTGCTCTCCGGCGGCCTTCTCGCCAGATGAAGGCGGCTCTTGCAGCGCCTCGATTTTACTGTTGTGAATGAACGCAGGCGAGGACGGTTTGGATCGAAGGAACCCGGTGATGAGTTGTGGTCTACAGGCAACAGACCGGCGGGCGCACTCACCTGTAGTCCACCTCGTCAGGTGTCGGGAAGCCTTCGGCGGGCCAGTTGATGAAGCAGTTCAAAAAGACGACCCCGGCCAGACCCGCCCACATCCACATGATCACCCCGAAGGACACGCCCGCTTCGTAGATCAGCTGGGGAGAAGAGATCAGAAGGGGTGGTATACTTTTAAAAAAACTTCTGCTTGTGCTTGTACATAATCAAACACTTTATTTGAGGAAAACCATGTTCCTTTTGCTTCCACGTAGCCTTTTTAATTCACCTTGACTCCAGGAAAGGTGACGGCAGACGAGGCGTAGGAGCCAATCATCAGAGACATGACGGTGGAGCTCAGAGAACCAAACATGTTGGGAAGCTGCAGGGCCGGAAGAAGAAGATACAAGACACGTCAGTCCTTCCACTCGTCCAACACGTTCCCCCGACGCAGTGTCCGTCATCTAGATGCAGGCGGTTATTTTGACCAGCAGGCGGCAGACAGCTTCTTTGTGTGAACCAAAACGCTTGAGTTCCTCTGCAATGAACCCGAGAACTTTCTCTGCAGTCTGCACCCAGTCACGCTCCTTCATCCCCCCAGAGCAGACTCATTGAACAAATGTTAGTGGCCATGTCATGAGGAAACAAGAAACCAAGTCACCACCTCCGTCTAGACACCGTCATTCAAACACGGACTAAGCTGCACTTTGACACTTGTGTCCACCGCCTTTATTCTAGCCTTTTACACACATTCCTTTAAGTTAGGATTAAAGATGTGGAAGCCAATCTGCAGCCAGCTCTCGATGGACTTCAGAGGGTTCAATAGACCTGGCGTCTGGGCACCCATGACTCACCGCAAAGGGAACAAGGTGGGGGGCACCAGGCACTAACACATCATATATTAGGTTGACCTATTTACAGTAGTAAGAAGCTTAACCAACATAACAATGACCTACTGTGGGGCCAGCACACGCAGTGTCCTTTGATTTGAGTTTTAAATGGGTCAATCACGATTATAGAATCACATGGGTGGGATTGTAGGTGTCCTGCCTGGCAAGCTCACTATTCCCTCTCTACGCTGACCATGGTTTTCCAAACTTTTGCCGACATCAACTAATCTCCCTGCTGGGTCAGATTTCACCGCGAGTTCCTGTTTCTCCCATGACATTTCCTCAGGAAGCACCAAATGATTTCATCTTAAGGTGACAAAGAAAGCCACAAATTCAGACTTGTATTTGTTCTTTTGAAATTATGTTTGACTTTCTTGGAGAGACTGAAGATCCCAACAAAAGATCCTGTGGAAAAGGGGGTATGGGAGGTGGGATTTCGACAATTACGATTACAAACGGTCCATTAAAGGTCCTTCAACCTGCATTAAGTGATTTCAGAATTTCCAAATCCAGCAGATATGGACGTCAGCATTTGATTAGTTGTGTTCTTGACGGCCTGATTAACATGAGCACAAAGCGTAATCTCCCTTTGGTCCTAACTACTATTGGCGGTAATATCTTGCTCTTTAGCTGCTAAATGCTCCACTATGATTACCAGTGAGCTGCTAATCTTGCTGTTTGATGCTGGATGGGTATCACAGTCTGCTTTTCTGTTGTTGAAAAAGACGAGTGCGATGAATAAACCATAACAACGAGGTGAAAGATGTTACAGCTCTTCCAGATATTTAAAATTGGGGTTTGAAACAAAGCAGATGCAAAGGAAACTATGATATAACTTCCACGAAAGGCTTTCTAGGAGAATCATCACCCTGCATGGACATTCCTCGAGTCGAAGGTCAGCAAACACGTAGGTGAGAATTACCGAGGGCCTTTCTGTGGACACAGATATTTTTTTCTCTCTGCTGTCTGCAGATTAGCCCATGGTGACAGTTTGTGGTTGGCAGACTAATACGAACATGTGTGTGTTGTGTGTGTGTCGGGGGGGCGTGGAGAAAAAACACCCAAGTGAACACTTGTACTCAATCAGCGATTCTGAGAATCAAAATACTTCACGACCAAACTGTGACCATGAGACGGGCAGCGCCGGACTCGGAGGTTTGTTGCAGGTAGGAGGGAGCCGGCCGCGGAGCACGCGGGGGAGTTTGCATCTCTAGGTAATGTTAAAGCAATGACATACCGGCCATGTGAGAGGTCAGCTAACCGATGTTTGCTCCCACGAGTGCAAGTGCGTTGGAAAGCCAAACAAACCCAAGCGTGAAATAGGTCCGTGCCTGTGGAAGCGCCAGCAGCAGGCGTGATTCCCATCACTCGCGTTCTGGCAGGTCTCACGGAAAAAACGCCTGCAAATGAGGGAACGCGTGACTTCGTGGAGGCAGCGAGAGGGCCGGCTTGTGTCAGAAAGTCAAAAACAAATGGAGCTCTGGCCGTTTGCTTGTCACGACCAATCAGTGAGGGTTGTATGAGTTTAATTAAAAGCTTAATCACTATGACAACGGGCCAAATAGCGGCTTAAGGAGCCCCGATATTCCAACACGCTGCTCTGAACGCGGCCAAAGAGATGCGGCAAAGAAAAGAACAGAATAAGTGGTGAAGATAAGAGGATAACGGTGAATGCAAATAGGCAAGACTGGAAATCAGGAAGAGGGGAGACGCTGCAGCCCGTCTCTCTGCGGAGATCCCAGCAGGAAACACTAAACCACAGATGATTAGCACCGGCTCCCTCTCTGCACCTCCGTCCTTCTCAGCAGCCCCTTATCGCTCCTCGTGGATCGGTCGAACCGGGCTCACGTCCAGCTGCTCCACACTTACATAACACAAGGAAGGTAGGCGAATGTAAAAGGCGCCGGTTCAGCTGGAAGCTTTTGAGCTTTCTTTTTAATTCAGAGAGTCAAACCGCCCCCCCCCCCGATTCCTTGTTGGGGCAACTTTAAGAAGAAGCTGATCCTCTCTCTCTCTGTGCGCTGAGGCCGTCATTGTGTGACTCGGGCGCCTTCAGGCATAGCGTGCGTAGTTTGCATTCACCACGGATGATACATAAATAATGCTGATAGTGGTTATTTACTGTTCTGCCCCAAATATACAATATATGAATACATTTTTTTTTTATCAAACTATTAACAAAAAAATATATTACAATAATTCCTTAAACCTGTTTAGTAAGATCCTCACAAACTACACGGTTTAAAGAAGACAATGAGATCTGGTTTCAAAATATTATTTTATATTAAATATTAAGTTTGACTGAAGGACTCGTTCATTAAAACGTCCTTCGCTGCTCTTGAATAAACCCATAATCCGTCAGCCTCTTGTCTTTATTGGCTCCTTCTGAGGAATTTACGATTGTCTGCCATTTTTTGCACACGACTTTATTATTAATATTATACACATATTTGATGTGCACACAACACAGGTGCACAGGAGTCTGCAGAGCAGGGAGGAGTCGACTACTTCTGGTAAAACGAGTCTTCGTCAGCCATGTTCTAAACTTTCTTTTTCTGTCAAGGTTTTATCTTGTGTTTTTCACCCCACCACGTGATGCAAACTTATATTCTGTTGCATTAAATCATTAATATGATCTCAGGGTGAATCACGCGGGTCGTCTCCTCAGTATGTGAACACAGAAGGACAAGAGTTCTCTTCTTTACAGAGCCATTGCTCTCAAGCACATGATTTAAATCAGGCCGGTATGAGTATTCTCTCCCTATCTCCCTACAACAACAACAACAACAGCAGGGAAGGGAAAAAGCTGTGTCTTTAAATTAACAGGATTTCTAACTCTTTCCTTCATTCCGTGCTTCAGAATTACACGGGGATCAATCAAATCTTTGATTTTTTTTTTTGGACTTTGATCCGATTATTATTATTTTATTTTTTTCATCTATAGTGTCTCATAGATGTTTCCAGGGAAACACATTTGGGTTTAAACAATTTGGGACTGAGGTTGTAATGACAAAAACAACATTAATAAGGCAGCAAAAAATAATTTTCTTTCTAGATATTTAGTGGGGTAACGGCACCCTGAGCAAGCAAGTCAAGTTTATTTATATGGCAGCGCCGGTTATCATGGAAGTGTACCGACAACCCTCCGGCCCACGTTAGCTGCACGCTCAACCATTAAGACGTTTAGAGCCTCATCGATAGGCTCTGAGATCAAGATGTAGCTCCATAAAGGCTTTTAAATCCCCAGCTCTGCATTCAAAATGGATATCATTTGTCTATTTGTGCTGCTCATTAAACAGATGGACATGGATGGAAAAAGGGTATTTGCAGTTTTGGTTAGTGAGATATAAACGGGCACAGTTGGCTGTTATAAGAGCAGAATATCTATTTAATTTGAAGCAGCTGTCTCAGCTTTTCTTTCCCTCGCTGCCGCCATACAGAGCTAAGTTCATAGGAGAGGGTCATCTGTCCACGCATTATCCAAACATTTGTTTCATGTACGTCTCCCCGTGTGTACATAACCAGGCACACTTATGTGTGTATCCACATGTGTGCACTGCCATGCGGAGTTGAAACGGTTCTGCCGTGACGTTCTGCTCACTGCTGGGCAGAACAGAGAAACAGGAGAAGGCGATGGGACGGGAGGAAGAGAAAAAAGGAAAGTAAGCGATCGGAACACAGCAGAGACGGACGGCCTTGAGCGTTCTGATTAGGGGTGAGGGGGCCGGGCCTCGGGGAGAGGGTGTGTGGTGAACAGCTCTCCGCTATTGGTGGAAACATGTTTTCCATCTGGGAGAAACCACGTGCTGCTCTGACAGGAAACACGGCAACACACACACACACGCACAGGCCCCAACCTTAAATGACCCGGGAGGTAGCCGCAACAATAAAACAAGCCAGATGATGTTGGCACCAGCTGACACATCACAAGCAGACGAGCGTGTACACAAGTCACGGCACACACTGTTTCCTCAGCTGACACAAATAGAGGCCCCGGCCACGCCGACACTCTCAGCTACCAAAACGGATCCGCTCGTTGGTTCCAGGAACACAGACCCTACACGTGTACTTTCTCAGAGAAGGAGTTGTGCAAGCGCAGTTGAGACTTTAAGAGCTTTGAGAAAGAACGGTTATTTTTGGTGTCAGGTTGTAGGTAAAGACTCCACAAATCTATTGTCGTCCTAACCCTGACCCTCTCGCTCCAGAAGCAGCAACTTAAAGCTCGACTGAAGTCTGATGACGATGGACAAAGAAAAGGCCGTCTGGAGGAAAGTTCAGATGAAACAGAAATTGAGCTATTTGGCCACAATGACCAGAGATATATATTGGAGGAGACAAATCGACCCCAAGAACATCAAAGCTACCAGCAAGCATGCTGGTGGTAGTATTAAGGTGTGGGTCTGATTTGCTGCCCGTGGAACTGGTGGCTTACAGAAAGTAAATGGAATATTGAAGAAGGATGATTACCTCTAAATAACCTCAAATCATCAGCCAGAAGGTTGGGTCTTGGATGCAGTTGGGTGTTCCAACAGGAAAATTACCCCAAACACGCATCAAACGTGGTAAATGGCTAAATCAGGTCATAATTAAGGTTTTAGAATGGCCTTACCAAAGTCCTGACTTAAACCTCATTGAGAACCTGTGCGCTGAAGAAACAAGTCTGTGTCAGAAAGCCAACAAAGTCGAACTGCACCAATTATTCCAAGAGGATTGATCACAGATTCAACCTTGGAAGCTTGTGGATGGCTACCAAAGGGGCCAAAATGAGGTGAAAAGATATTTTGGACCTAGCAGATTTGGTCACATTTTCAGAAGACTCATAATGAATTCATAAAAGAACAAAAAAATCATTCCATCACATAAAAATGAGAGTAGAAATTCAGGACAGCCATGACATACATGTTCTTTGCGCGTGTATGTAAACCTTTGACCACAACTGTATGTTCTCCTCCTTGGGTAAGTGATAATCTGTATTATTCTGCTCCTTGTGTCTCACCGTGAGGGAAGTGAAGGTCAGGCAGATGCCTCCAAAGCCATTCAGGGAGACAGCCAAAAAAATAAGTTCTGACAGAGCTACAAAGAAAAACAAGACAGAGTTAAAGCCCAAATCCACTGGAGCTGTGGGGATGGGAGATGTCCAGTGCTTTCAGATGATACAACAATGTTTATTTAATTTAATTAAAATATAATTATTAAGCACACAAACATTTACTGGTGTCTGTTTATAACCAGCTGTGTAAAACATGTGAACATGGAGATTGTTGCTCTTCCAGGCAAACACCTCTTCTTGAAATATTGAAGCATTTCAGGTAGTTTGCCTCAAGATACAGATTTCTCATGTCAAAATTGTACTCATTGACGTACAGCTCATGTTTTAGTGACACGAGTTTGTACTCACCATGAGGATTGAAGGCAGATAAGGCCATGACGACACAGGACAGACTGAAACACAGACTGTGAACAAATACAGGGCATTTTAATACATGCATTCTGCATGATGGCTGTGCACACTGACAGTGGCATGTATTTAGATGTATTATACATACACACTATACAAACATGAAACACAATTAACTTTGTACTATGTTTCGGCAATAAAAGTATGTTTCACCAAAGAGCAGTTGAGTGTTTGTTTATCTGCCAGAGACTGAAACTGTGTGTGGTTTAACAGCCTTCAGCTGCAGATGAACTTCTCCTTCTCCTTTCATTCATCAACTGTCAAACTATTATCAAACTGAATGCAGATTAACAAACGTGCATGTGATTTGCATATTCTTTACGTTTCACTGTGCGTGTGTGTGTGTGTGTAGATACTACAGGCTGGCGCGCCCATTGTGCAGTTGTGTTCACACCCGCTCTACTATGGTACGTGCAAACACACCCACCACCGAGAAAACTGAGAAAAGGAATGACGGAATGTGATCAATCTGCTATTTTTTCTATTACTGTACCTGTAGAAATTTCCTTTTGACTGCAAATTCTCACCCTTGTGAAATTGTGATTGTGAAAGAGGGTTTAAACCTAAATCTTACAAATGAGAAGTAGGTTTTTGTGTATTATGCTAAACGTAAGAAGTCACTGAAACACCCAGAAGTCCCGTTCCTCACGTTTACAGACCTCAAATCTCTGTGACTATTCTAAAACTATTTACCTTCCCACCAGGCGGATTGGGCGCGGCCCAAACCTGTCCATCAGGATGCCGAGAGGCAGCGTGGTGGCACTCAGCAAGAAAGACCCGATGGTGAATCCCAGGTTCAGCATCTCCTCCTGATCCACGCAGCTGAGCCACTCCTCCACCTCCCCGCCGGAGGAGTTCCCCAAAGACACCACCACGGAGTCATTCTCTGTGTGTGGAGAGAGGCCTTTGAGTCAAGAGAAGCTTATGAGCCAATTGGGCGCCAGATTCGCAAAGGTTATTTTCCAGACTTTGAGTAAACTGTAAAATTATTATAAAAAAAGTCTTTAATCCTTGAAAATAATTTCTCACCACTGGTAGACACGTTCAATCAGTGAAATAATGAATGAATTACTTATTATTTAGGTTAAGTACAGTGTATGACATATTAATGATGGCTGCAAAATGAATCCTCCTTTTTGTCTTTTTCATATGAATAATACTTTAAAGAAAATTTAAAAATACAGATTAAAAAAATAAATTTGTGTATTTGGCTAAAAACAGACATTTACATAAAAATGTTACACTAAATATGTCAAATGTCATGTAAAACCCATTTAGGGTTATCTATTGCAGGTCAATTAGACCCCAGGGGAACAAATTGTTACAGAAGTCGGACAAGATAAATGTACCAATTTAGCTCTTGGGATCTCAAGGCCGCAATACATGTATGTCATTATGGAGCGATCATAGATAATAGAATACTGTGGAGAATACAGCTAACATCTATAGAAGTAATGCATTTTGTTCTGTATCAAACGTCTGAAATACGTCATCGCTTTAAATCATCTTTAAAGACGCTTCTCACAGAGAAGTAATGAGGTATCAGGGCGTTACGTATGGCGGAAGCAAACAACGGGCGAGGTGATGAGTACCTGAGCACAGGTGGGAGTAGAAGCCTTCCCTCTTCAGCATGATGAGCAGGGAGCCCCATCCCAGCAGCACGGCCGAACACAGCAGGTTTTCAAATACCGCCGTCACCGCCATCCACCAGCGCCTCCTGTACGCCCGGAGGAGCGAGGCCGCCATCGCCGCCGCTCCTGGTTGGAGGAGAGGCGAGGAGGGGAAATGTAAGGACTTTTTCTAATATTTGAGAATTTATTTTGAGACGTAACGCCATGTTCATCCACAGCATGTGTGATGACCCAATCATCCATCAATACGACGCCTGTCTTAAGATCAGCGGGTAAACAAATGGACAAAACGCAAGAAGGAAACAGTTAAACCAGCGCACAACTCAGCAAGGGTCACTCTCGTTATTGGTCAATCTTCCACTCATCTTAATGATTTATCAATTATTGTTTGTTAGTTGCTAAAGCAAATCTCAAATTTTCCCTAATGTGCTAAAAGCATTATTAAATTATCAATTATTGTTTTTATTTTCTTGTTGATTGACCAATTGCTGCAGCTCCTAACGGCACAAAACACAATGAGCCAATAAAATAAGAACACAACTCAACAACAAGCTCTAGATAATTCTTCACTACTTTTCTAAAAGCTAAAAAGAGTTTTGTGGGCAAAAGTGTTTACATATTGATCCCCAGAATACAGGAAAGATCTACAAAAGGACATTTTTTTTCTCCTCTTCATTGACTTAAATCTTCACTAGTCCTTTGATTGCACTTCCCCGGACGTAGCCCCTTGAGACGGGACATTTTTCCCTAATGAACCTTTGTGACCAGTGAATCCCAGTTGGGTACCTGACACCTTCCACTGTATTGTCCTCGGACGTCCTCCCCCCCATGCAGTCAACAGAGCAGCTATTAACCCCTGATTTGGGCCGGAGGAAACAATGCAGAGCGCTCCGTGTGATTGCTTTTGTTCTGCTAAGAGGGACGGCTTCATAAAGGGCTGACATTTCCATCTGAAAGTCGCCAGTCAACTCTTCATTGACTTAAATCTTCACTAGTCCTTTGATTGCACTTCCCCGGACGTAGCCCCTTGAGACGGGACATTTTTCCCTAATGAACCTTTGTGACCAGTGAATCCCAGTTGGGTACCTGACACCTTCCACTGTATTGTCCTCGGACGTCCTCCCCCCCATGCAGTCAACAGAGCAGCTATTAACCCCTGATTTGGGCCGGAGGAAACAATGCAGAGCGCTCCGTGTGATTGCTTTTGTTCTGCTAAGAGGGACGGCTTCATAAAGGGCTGACATTTCCATCTGAAAGTCGCCAGTCGGGGAGTCTTCACACAGCAAGCCACCCGCAGTTTATTTCGGGGGTTTGTCCAACTGCAATTAACGGGTTAAAGGTGAGTGGAGATGCAGCGTGCATGTAAACAAACAAACAGACGCTAATAGAAGCCCCGAGCCCATGACGTGACAAATAAAAGTCTGGTTAGTCGTGACCACCTGGAAAGTACACACACACACACAGGACAGGTCATCGGTCAGTGTAACCGGGCACATTACTGACCATCAGAATCATCATGACCGCCCTGGATCACACACACATTTAGGAAACATCTAATGGAGAGAAAAAAGGTACAAATGCCAGCTATTTAATTTGGTGGAGAAGAACCAGCGATGGAATGGAAAAGAACAGAGAGAGTATTCTCACCCTCCTGACTTGAGGAGACGCATACGGGTGGTAAGAGGGGGGGTTGGGGGGGTCTGCATGTCAGGGCCTCGCAACAGGAAGCCCTTTCAGTGGCTCTTAATGAGGGTGTCCTCTCGTGTTTGGGCCTTGGAGAAGACTAGAAGACCTAATGGGACAGATTTGTCTCAGCGTGTGTCCCTGAGTGTGCCGGTGAGGCTTCTAGTAATGCGATTATCCAGAGTCCACTGAACCGCCTTTGTGCTGGAAGGAGTGTTTGAAAAGGGGGATTTCTGCGTAACTGACACCCCCGTGCCGAAAGACCCTTCTGCACACACACACACACACACACACACACTTAACTCCCAACAATGAGGTGACCGAGGGACACGGCGGTCAGTCACTCAGTCATGAAAATGTATAAGCCCCAAATTAACCTGCTAATTGAACCACCTACTTGTTGCCCATTCGTCTTAAGTCCTGGAGGACACTTACAGACGGGACAACTCACGATTGTTTCTGTGTTTTTTTACCGTCCTAGCCCACTGCAACTTCATTAAATGTCTTGTTTTGTCTCAACAATGAGTCCAAAATATCCCATTTCCAATGTGAAAGAATAAAAGCATCCACTTCTAAAATAAACGATTAACTAAAAGAATGACTTAAATAAGGATTTGATTATTGAAATAGTTGCTTAATCATTTTCTCTTGATCAGCTAATCATTTAATTGACCAATATTTGCAGCTCTAATAACATTCAATGTAATTATTGATAAGCTGGATATGATTCTGAGAGTCGAGTCTTTCGCCAGGGAAACCTTCCTCTCCTCAGATACTCTAGTGAGTTGTATGTGGAGATGCTTAATAAACCACATTTTGCATCATGATACCATCATCACGCCTCTGATGTCTATAAACATATATGGACATCGACTGTAAGTATGTATTACTCAGCGAGACACTGCTGCTAATGATAGCATCAACATGTCCAAGCTAGCGTTCCGAAATAGCAACGGTGCTGCAATAAGATTCAAAAAGTTCGTTAAACTGATGCTGACACTCTGATTTAATATCTTTAATCTTCACGTTTCCGTCCTGTCAGCAACACTGCTAACGTCTTTCAGACGTGAACAGACACACACTATGGAAGGTTTTAAGTCTGTCACATGGATAACACACATCCACGCGCACACTCACCGCTCGGGACACAATGTCATGAATGCAACACGCAGTCACGTGGTGTCCAATAAAGGAGTCAGTTGCTCCGCGGCGTGTGTTCGGTATCAGGTTGTACGACCACGTGGGATGATGCAAGGCACAAATGGAACCGTTAGCTGTGCAGCCTCCACTTCTGGTTCTCTACACGTTCTCTCTCTCTGTCTGTTTCCCGCCTGTTTTGAGCTTCCTGTTGACAGCAGCGTTTCATTGGTAACTGTTTGCTTTGGGAGTGTCCCTGGTGATGTGAGACGGAATGTTGACACACAACAACGGTAGGCAGACATGTCGAAACACAAAAAGGCAAACACCTAATTTGGCCTAGCAGGTAGTTGTGAGGCTTCCTCGTAACACTGTGAAGCGTGGTTGTATGTGTGTGTGTGTGTGGGTGGGGGTGTGTGTGGTTGTGTGTGTGTGTGTGTGTGTGTGTGTGGGTGGGTGGGTGGGTGGGGGTGGCAGGTCTGCACTGAGCTTCACGCCATATAAGGACACTTCCTGAGTACCTGATGCAATGTCTGCTGACTATCTCCTCTGTTTGGGCCATGTGGAGTTTGGGGTTATTTATAGGCTTTGGATCCTTGGGATCCACTTTTTTGTGGCACAGGGGAAAAAAAAAGAATTGTGAAGCTTCTGTATTATAATGTGAGTATTCCGACGTACTTCAATCATCACATGTTCTGCTTCAAGTCTTTCTGTTGATGCCCCCATCCAGCCCTGCTCTTGTGTTGTTGTCCCACCCCGCGGGGTGTTCCTGACCTTGACCAGCCGTGTTTATCAACCTCTGTCGGACATAAAGGACCGCAGGGACAACTCTTTATCCTCGCAAGTTTCCAAGAAAATAAACTGACCCCCCCCCTCCTCTCGCCTCCCCCCTCCGAGAATGGCCAGCTGCCTCTCCGCGGGCATGACGTCAGGCCCGGGGTCCGGTTACCGGCACGGCCACTGGAAGAAAAAAAAGAAAAAGGCCGGTCCCGGAGAAAATCCGCTGATGCGTTTCAGTGCTGTTCCAAAAGTCGGAATTTTAAGCTCAACACACATGAATGAATTCCAAAAAGTGGCGGATGCCCCTTTGGTAACAGCGGCGGAAGCACAGCGAGGCGGGAAAAATGAGCTATCAGTAGTACGCGAATGATTCATTGATCAGCTGCCAAATATTCCACTAATGGTTTGATGAAGTCATGTGAGAAGTAAAAAAAGAAAAGGGCACCAAGCGTGTGCCAGTTCAAACTTGTGCGGAGTTGTTTCGTTGTGTATCACTGTTAATTGAGTCAAATAAGAGACTCTGAGCAAATGTGATGGACTTCTCACCCTCTATATTCTCAAGACTGTTAACTACTATGACAAAAACTAAATTTGTAGTGGCAATTTAGAACATCTGGTTACTGGACCCTTCTAAAAGCGTGCACCTCTAAACCAGTGACCAATAGCGTTTGCTTGCTTAGTGGCGTAATAAGACGCGTGTTTGACCGCGGCTGTGTGCTTATTGCACACTTACAAACGAGCCCTGTGACAGCGTTTGGGAGTTCACCTCTCAAATAAAGATTAACGCTTAAACTCCCGCAGCCGCTTCAGCACTCGGTCATTTGAATGGTCGATTCGGACAAAAGACATCCAGGAAACTACCCGCAGCGTGAAGTGTACTTTCTCCCTCTCTGTATGCGTGTGTGGACACACAAAGGGGGGAAACGTTCCCCCATTACGCACAATCCGAGGCTTAAAGCACACGGGCAGTGTACCGGCTGTACGTGTGACTTTAAAGCTTCAGTTTCATGCCACGTGTATCTGCAGCCGTTTCGTCCACGCCGCCAGTTTACACACGAATGAAACAAACTCATTCACTTACTTCTGTTCTGCGTCTTTTCCAGAGAGGAACAAAAACAAACTGTTATTCGTGAGGGAAAAAAGTGAAGGATTTAAAAAAAAAAGTGATTTTCTTGTTGACTGTTAAACAAAACCCCTGACTGAAACCCTCCGCTTCCTCTCTGTCTCCTGTTGGTTTGCTGCTAATCCTGCCGAGTGTCCACACTTGTATCCTTTCTCTGGATTCATTACAGACTCCCCCTCTTTTTCCACAATTTGACCTCCAATTCCCTCCCTCTCCTGCGATGGGTGGAGAGAAGTGGAGAGAGAAACACGACTAACGTCCTTTCCCCACCCAACAAAATGTCCTTCGTGGAGCCGGAAGTTAAAACGCACGGTGATGACTTCCAATTGTTTTTTTATCATTAGTCTACTTTTTTTAAATAGGCAGTGGTGGAAAAAACTCATATGTATCATTAGAGTGAAAGAAGCACCCGTAGCCATACTTAGTTACAATGAAAAGTGATGCATCAGATAATATCAAAGGTAAAAGCACTTATCGTGCAGAATGTTCACATTTCAGAATAACGTGTTATGTTATTTCTTTATCATTTAAAGTTTAAATGCTATAAAGTTGCATTTTAATGACTTGATGCTGAAATGACCCAACAAATCAATAAACACTACAACACTTTGTTTTATGAAAATTATCCAATTGTCCAATACTTGTAGTTGCGTCAAAGACATTATATTTGCTTCTTAATGTACTTAGTTACTTTCTACCACTGCAAATACAAGCGTCATTACAGAAAAACGCAATTTTTCTCTTCATCTTATTCCTTTTGTTTCCCTCACAGTTAATGTCTGACACGTCTTTAGACAGAGGGTAATTTATACAGTTTTTAAGTAATCAAAGCAATCATCACGCTGTTCTCTTTTCACATAGAACAATAATCATTTAATTACACACATTTTACAGATCCGTAACTCTAGACAGAAACGCTGTCTGCTCCCAGATCCTAAATCTTTTATACAACATCTATTTCATCTATTTATACATCTATATCATCTATTTACATATTGTCAGACTTTTAAATTGAGTGTCTGTGAATAGACACAATTCTAAATCTTGAAGTTGATGAACTCCACAAAGTTCCTTCAAACTTAAGACTTTCTTGCAGATTGCACAATGAAAGGCGACATTCTGCGACAACGGCGAGACGTCTATATATACAATAGAGCTTTGTCACATGTCAGAAGCCCTCCGTTTAAATGGCGAAGCCGGCGTTGAAGTCTTGTGACTTTGCATCGCATGTGGACACTCAGATTTATGAGGGCATTACCGGCCTCTCTGGCCTCCAAGATACCCGACTCCCATTTAGGAACGATTGAGGCCTTTGATGGCAAACCACCAAATATCAGAGAGGGGAAGACAGAGAAACGAGGGGCTTCATTTGAACTTTCCCGTAAAAACCAAACGTTCACCTTCAAGCTTTAATTCTAGCAGCTGAGCTCCAATAGTTCTGTAGTAATTCTGGATTCCGTCCCAAAGGAGAGGAGAAAATCTGCACCCTGCTGGGCTCCACATGGAAGTGCTCCATGTTCCCCTTCAAACACACAGAGTGGTGGAAAAGTCGGTCCAGTCACAGTGCGTGAAACATTCGTCACAGCTGCAGGATCAAATCAGACCGAGGGCCCCAATTTCCTAATAAAATAATCCTGTTGGAATTTGTGTGAGCTCTCTCCAGCTGCGGACACCTGTACGTGTCACCTTTGACCCCACCTGTGAAGAGCAATGTTCACGTGAGCAAGTCAGAGTGAGGTCAGTTGATGCTGAGCTGGACTGCGTGGGGACGACTAGAGACGAGACTGTGCAGAGTTCTCATTTATTCATCACGCATTGGTATTAACTACACATCTTCACATGAAAATGTGTTTTTTAGTTCATCTTCTTTTATCAAAGGACAAACTGATCAATATGTGAATGGAAGAATATGTTTTGTCTGCTTGAGTAGTGAAATACTGACAGTGATAACAGTAATTATCTCATTGTTGAAACTCATTCAATTCAATGAGAAAGTGTGTTGAATCGTTTGACTGGTGCTGTATAGATGTTTGATTACTGAACACATCGACAACCTTTATAATTACATAGACAATTACTTAGCCTCAGCCAATTACTTAGGAGTTTACCAAATTGTAATCCAGTAATAATAATATCAACATTTACAAGTGCTCAGATTTAGTTTTCATTGTAAAAACCTTCATGAGGTCAGACACGTATCTTGGTTTTCATCACAGAAAACGTTCAAAGGAGGCAGATGTTGGACCGCTGAGACAAAGCTCCACCTGCTGGAGAAGCTTGAGTACTGGCGAGCGATTCAGGCAACGACGACAGAGAAGGGGGATAGTGTGTGAATCATGCACACGCTCTATGTTTCGTGAGGGTCCTAATGGAGGAGGATTGATCCAAGCACCTTCCAATTTCACCATGCAGCGATTAAATGAAAAACATAATGCACGATACAAAGCTTTGATACTGTTTTTTTTTGGATACTTTTTTCAGGAAGCGTTGAGTGTATTTAGTTTGTTAAAAAGAACATTTGGAGTAAACACAAGGGGTTATTTTGAATGCAAAATGTAATACTGACGTAACTTTTTAAATTGTCTCAATTTTCCTCTCAAATAGGTAGAATGAAAACATGCAGCATAATGTGGCGTCAATTAGTGGCGTCAAAGCCACTCATTTTCTTCCATAGACTGGACGTCTGCAGGCAGAGACGTGCAAACCCTCTTTGATTCTTCTCCAAAAGTGTATTAGCGCAAAGACTTTAATAAACTGCTTTATCACCACGAGCAACGGGCAAACTTCGGCCAAACAGGAGAGACTGATGATGAGCACGTGTGAATCCCATGAATGGCTCAACAGAGGGAGATGGACTCCACAGACGGCGTCTTCAGACTGATTTACAGGCCAACCGTTGGACTGGGATGTTTTTCCTTTCTGCTATGAAAGTGTGAGAACAAACACGGAAGTATTACATCTAATTCATAGAAAATGGAAAGTATCACCTACTCTATATTTGTAGATTCATGGTGTCAAAAAAATGTTTTTTAGTTTTCCACAGTCAAACAAAGAATGCTTTTGGATTTTTTTTTAAAATCCAAAGCATTTATATCAGTTCATGCTTTGGATAACGGACCTTTATGGTTAAAGACCAAAACAGACATAAAATTGTGAAAAGGCAACAAAGAAAAAGCATTTTCTCTGCCAAAACATAATCATTTTCTCACATCTCAACCAACTGGAACTACTGCTTATTGTGAGCTACAATGTGGGAACTAAAACAACCCATAAACACAAAATAAAATATCTATTACATTTTGGAATAACTCTTGCAGCCAAACCTTCTCCATCTCCCAGTGAGAATTCCTCTCACTCCTAAAGTGATTCCCCCTCAGAGACGTTTGTGGTTTGAGAGCACGAAGAGTGGTTTTAAGTTCCAACATTTCATTTTCAACTCTTAGCAGGAAATGTGCAGGTGAAAC